GGGGCCAAAAGCTCTCAACTACCGCAGCGATGAGCCACACAGCACCGCTACAGGCTAATCTGGCCCCTATTGAAAAGAGGTCAGCAGTGCCCTGAGCCAGGTTCGTGAACAAGAGACAGTTGCATAACACCGCACAATCTGGGCTCTGTTTACAAGGCTGCAGGCCTGGCTGAAATATTCAGGCGTCAATGAAGGTCACCTGTCAACTTAGAGTACTGCCTAAAGATTACTCCGTGCGGCTATAAACGACTGTTAAATGGAATGATGAATTGTTGAAGAATTTTGAAAACGGAAAAATGATAGTCATGCCGGCCCAGCATCATCAACGTTGAAAAATGCCCCAGCACGAAGTGGTTAAAGTGCATCGTGTGGTACATTCGTGTACTGGACCTTCGAAAATCAACACACTAGTGTACGTAGCACTGTGCGACGTGTATTTGCACACACGTGCAGGGAACGTGTAATTTCAACGTGAGGAGGAAAATCAATCATCACGTTTGGTAGTAAATCAGAGTACAGTTCTGTCCCAAAGGTAAAAGATTGCAATCTGGACCCATCGTCACCGTTTTTACGAAGACCCAAACTTTCAAATTTTGAAGGATAACTGGTTTTCGAGAGAAGTTTCTCCTATTTCAAACTGCAAAATGATATACTATCACAGAACACGCAGTAAAATCTCTTGAATGATTCTTTGAGAGATAAACTTTTCCTGAACTAAGTAGTTAAAAGGAATACAACGTTAATAAGCCAAAATCGATTAGTAAAGATGCGCGTATGTTAGTGAAATCGAAAATCCACGTTTTCCTACATTTGGCCCTTCTGTTTAACATAATCCGTCAGGAAGGGGCTAGCATGTTTACGTGTGCGCCGCTGTAAATGTTACAAAGATGTGTGTCTCTTTGCAAAAACGAAACTCTCAGTTGACCTACTTTTCAGTTTTCTCATGCAGCAGTATGTTTTGTATGTTTGCGAGGGGCAGTCAGATAAGTGTCTCTTCGTGATTTTGGCCCCTGTCAACATTAGGGCCTAGTATTATTTTGACGTAGCGTACAGTAAGCAAAAAAAATAGTCCCTTATAGGCTCTGGTAAAAATGAGATAGAATCGCCTTCAGTAAACTGCAACTATACCAAACCTGCAAATTTGCAACAACTCAAAAATAGTTACAGCATTCAACACCAGGGGGCAGATATAATGTTGGCTTGCGGTGTGCAATGCACGTAATTAACCACAGTCGAGGGATCGGAGAATGGGATTTCATGAGTATCTTTGGTCTATAGATTCAAGTTTTCCGAGTACCAAGTGAGAGTTTTACGAAAGCTTAGAGTGACCACCCACGTTTCATCGTTTCCATAATGTATTATCTTTGAAAGACGGAATACTGATACAAAGACAACTTTCTACGATATTACATTTGTGGAAAAACGTCTTTCCCCGATATAATATGTCGGAAAGATGTCTTTCAATTTTTTTAATTTCCGAAGGACGGCTTTTAACGTTTCTTATCTTGGAAAGACGCCTTTCTGTGATGTTTTATCACGAACAGAAGTCTCCCGAGATTATGATTATCTCGGAAAGACGTACGACAATCTGTCTAGTGATATGACATCTTAAAAAGACGTCTTTCTGAGATACTATATTAGGGAAAGAAGCTTTTCCGTGATATCACATCTGGTAAAAAAACTTCTTTACCAATCATACCACTGGGAAAAATGTCCAGAATATCAGGGTATTCGGTCTTTTTCCACGATAATTTATCTCGGAAACGTGGAAACGCGCATAAGTCGTATGCATTAAAAGAATTTTACAAAAAATAGGCCCTACATGTACCTGCAAAACTGCCAACGGCGGTAATGGACGCTATCAATCCACCAATCATCCACGCGTCTGTTGTGAACTGCTCTTGAAAAGTCGGCAGCAGTACTCCTAGACCTTTGAGGAGTCCTGTCCATAGCAGCCAGTTGACGTGGACACAGAGCACGGCATACCAGCCTGCGTTACCACTGTCGGACCCACACTGGATTCCCATCACGGTGGCTTGTCTCACGAACAGAGTCTCACCGACGTGTCCTTGTTTGCAGGCCTACCTTGAGCGAGTGTGTCAGCGACCAAGCGAGTCTCAAACGTTTTGGTTGACGATTTTTTATAGAGAAAGTGGAACTCACTTTTCTGGAATGGACAAATAAACTAGATCTGGCAACGGAAAGTTATGTCAGTTAACTAGATTTGACCTTTGGAGAGCTTTCGATATAACTTTGGATGTTTCAAGCAATCTGAATTGTCGACTGGCGTAATCGTTCAACCACAAACTCGTTCTTTCCAATGATTTATTGTCATACGCCCTTCCCCTGCTGATTTTCAACAGACCCTTCCACTCATAAATTCTAATTTATGTGCGCATGGACATAAATGACATGTGGAGGCAAAAAGCTTGAGTGGCTATGTAAAAATGTACAGGGGCCCCAATTTTAACGTCATTTTCTCTCAGCTTTTTCACTTTTTCACTTTCGTCTTCGGAAAATGCTCTACAATTATTATAGCTATTACTTTTTAGTCTAAAGGATTTTTCACCGCATGAAATGAAAAAAAAACCAGTCTTAAATTTGCTTCTCCCCGAGCGCACGAGGTCAAAAGAGGTTATCAAGGCTTCTATCCAGACATGCCTAAAAATTGAATAGTCATGTACATCAGGGTGTTATGCATCACTTGCACTATGCTGAATCGCCGGTTCAGGCTGAAGGTAATGTGAATTACGGGCTAGCTTCAGATACTTTTAGGTTTGTTTCGCCCACTGATCTGTTTTGCCACGTACGTCGTCGACGGAGAATGGTGGATGGTACCCCAACGTATCGCACAATTTGTTTGAAGACGCGTACAGAACAGAACTCTCCCGCGCTTCAAACGAACGAAATTCTTTAAGTTTTTATTTTGCTCTCCAAAAAGTCCTCTCACACCAGAAAGTAACAGCTAGAATGATTTATTTCAATAAATATTTATTTTTATGATTTTCCGACGATAAAAATGAATGACGTTGAAATATGTGCCCCTGTACATTTTCAATGGGCCGCTTAAGCTTTTTGCGTCCAAATGCCTTTTATGAGCATCCGCGCATAAATTATCATTCACTAGTGACAAGGTCTACACATGTGTGTTACACAATAAAATACGATTGCATCTTATAACCACTGACGGCCTGTTCACACGACATGTCGATGAATTTGTAAAAGTATAACAGAGCGAAATTTCAAAGTATGTCTTCTAGTCACAGTAGCAATTAAATATACATCGATCACTCAGACTTAAAAACACGAATGCCTCTATCCCAGTCGAATAGTTCATATGGATGAGTTCTTGCGTCTTACATAATGGGCAATCAGCAAGTTATTGCTTTCAAGTTTCTGTCACTGAAGCTACATATTTTGGTTCAAACTTAAACAACTGCTAGATTAACAATGAACTGTATTAAAAATCCTAAATACCCTAGGTAATAATGGGATGGGCGTGTGCAGCAGGACTCAAAATTTCTGAGGGATGGGGGAATTTTATTTACCACTCACTGGCGACCCATAAACAGGTCGGACTTTCACAAATTCGTCTTAAACTTTATAGCAGAATCCATCACGCTTGCTGTGTTACTGCAGACCGTTTTGTGCGTGAACGGAGTGTTGTTTTTCGACCACGGACAGCAATAATGGCGCAATGGGCCTGGACATTGTGATTTAACAAAGTCAGATTTATATTGAGGCGGGCTCTGTATTTAGACACGGTTAACAGAACTAATTTGAAGTCATTTATTATTAATCATACCTGTGTGTTTCTTACCTGGTAGGTTGAGCAGTCGATCACAATTGCCTTCCAATTCGTCTTCAGTGTCGAACTCGACCTGTATATGTGCGTCGAATCTCCTGTAACAAAGTGTAGTCACGAATGTAGGCAAAAATATTAAATGTAAATTCCACAAAAGTATCAAAGAGTGGTGACAACAATATCAAATCCAAGAGAAAATGGTTTTGTACAAGTGAATACGTGAACTCCGGTCAATAAGTAAATTCATATTTAATAGCAATCCAAAGAAAATTGCACTTTTATTTTACCGTTTAAACAAACGCACCACTTTATTGGAGTCACAAAATGTATCTGTTACAAAGATTCTCTTATCGGGTGATGCATTTTACAGAAGCAATTGGAAAAAAGTAATCTCTACTGCGAGGCAACTGTGTTCGAAATAGGCTCATTTGTAAATGACCTCAACCTGGCAGGACAATGTGTGCTTTGAAAACACGTTAGTATTGGGCACAAGAGCACAGAGTTGCTATAGACTAAAGCTATCTGTACTGAATACCGTAACGTCGTTTAATTGTGTGGTAAGCATACATCCAGTGGACTGTAAACCCTGATGGCCCCATGGGAAACGCCAACACAAAGTCGAATGCCATCACTGATGAGGCCTTTAAATCATTTGCAAGTTTAAATTTATTGTACATATTAATTAGAAATAATAATAGGGTCCCTGGCTGTGTGGTTCATGCCATGTCAGTATAAACGTCAAGGCTAATTATGCGGACCGTAAACAAGATCTGAAACTGGTAAAATATTGAAATATTAGCAAACTTACAGGGTCTAATTTCATATGAGTATGGAAATGATGACGGACTAATAATCAGATAGGTACAGTGAGGTAAATTTTTGCCAAAAATTTGAGGGATTGGGGGTGGAGAAAAGAGGGTTGGGGAAGACTTTCCCGGCAACGGAAACTTGAAAAGCCGGGGGTGGTTGTCATTCAATCATATAGATCGATGTCTATATTATTGATGTACATCTGTAATATATATTCAGAATGGCATATTTATTTTTTTAAATTCTGAGTTATATTGAATTACTTTTAGTTGTTGGAAGTCTCAAAACTTCTTCATGATCTGCTTTAATTTTTTCCTCGCCAAAATAAGGTGGTGGGGGTGATTCAATAGCCCATCCCCCATCTCAAAAGTGTGTGGGGGGGGTTATTACCCCATTCCCTGGCATTGATGCCCATGGGCTGGGACGTCAAATTTCAGTGAGCTTTGATACAACCCTTGTTGAGATTGATAACATCTAATACACGATACAAATCAAAAATTCTTCACCACTGCATCGGAGCGGATACAGATGTACCGGTGAGGGAGGACAGCCTTTGTTGTGCAACCAAGGGTTCATTCGTAGTTGAATAGAGTTGAAAATAAAATGACCCCTCGTGACGACAATGAGCTTAGGTTGGGTCTTTCCTCGGTTGAGCGAACCACACTAACGGCAAAAGCGAGAAGAACCCTACAATGGTAAAATCCTTTGTTATTGCTTCCGGCCTGATCAAACCAGAAATCCAACCTGATAAGGGGTAAGGTCAGTGGTGGATTCAGCTGGGCGCTCATGCGGGACGGGGTCAAGCTGGTCAGTTAGGCGGGTCAGTTGGGCATAGGTTGGGGGCGGGGTGAGGTGGCCGGGGGTATAGGAGATAGACCCATAGGTGGGGTGTCCTAGGGTATAGAGGACCCATTGGACTAGAAGGTGAGCAGGAGTTGCCATATGTCACTGATGGAGAAGCCGATGTCTTGGGGAACAATTTCATGCTTGAGGATCTCCAAGGCTTCTCTGATGCGTCTTTGGTACCAGTGCTCGATGCTGGTGATGAGGCGGCTTGGTCCCTGTTGATGCGGTGGTCTTCAGAGTGGGAATGCTTGACTATCGCTGACTTGTCATACTCTCCCTTCCGGTCGTGGGTTTGGTGTTCTTTGAGTCTGGTGGGAAGGTCCCTACCAGTCTCGCCAATATACACTTTGCCACGTTGGCAGGTGATCCTGTACACCCTGGTTGGTGGTGCGGATCTTGTCTGTCCTTGTGGGATGTCGGCATGCCGCGGATCTTAAGAGGGGCTGTGTGGAATACCTTGATGTCATGCTCGCTCAGTATACGCTGGATATGGTGGGAAATACAACCTACGTAGGGGAGAGTAACAGAACTAGGGGCTTTATCTAGTTGGCTTTGGGTATAGGGGACCCTGCGGCCGGGAGGTGATCTTGGTCTAGGGGGTCTTGATTTGCTAGGGCTTGGACATGTTCCATCAAAGAGGAGAACTTTTTTTTATTATTTGAACATAGCTAAGGGCATAATTGTTTCAGAAACATTCCCACTTTTTGCCCTTATTTTTTCCTCCCTTAAGCCCTTACAGACTGCTCTAACGGGCAGCAGCCTTCACACATCCAGTCAACCCCCAAAGCACGGTGAATACCGTGCTGTTCTCATTCACGGAGGAATGTGTGTGGTTAATATCGTCCAAAAAAAACCTTATCAAATGACGATGCCATGAAATCAACGTTACGGTATAAATAAATCATCTTTCCATCACTCTGTATAATGAAAGGGCGAAAACATCCCTTCTGCAGTTAGAAAGCAGTGTACACCATATCGTACTTATGCCTTTGGCTCCATAGAGCCATGATCACTGACCAAACTCCAGGCTAGTGTTGAATCACTTTAAAACGTTTACAGCCAATGCTACAGGAATGAAAGAGTTTACAATTTGGTAAAAAGCTACATTAGAAAAAAAAATCCCAACCAATCATAAGCGAGGGGGTCAGCACATATGAACCTATGATGCAAATTGAAAGCATACGAAAGATGGCAAGCTTGTCAAGTGTGTTGGCGGTCGTGAGTGCAGGTCAGTTGTCTGAGCAGTATTTGGACAGTTATGCCGCTGGAAACTTCACCTTGCCGTATTTAAACCGTTGCAACGTTAGGCTATTGAAGCATCTGTACGCGGGCGTGACGTTTTCGTATACCCACGGAATAGGTAGAGCTCCATATTTCAAGCACTGCCATTTTGTTTGGATCAGTCGGCCTTGATGAAGTGTTACTCCAACGTCAGCACCATCCCCCATCAACAAGCATCATAGTTGTCATCTCACCGCTTATTGCTCTCATCGAAAAACCAGATGGGAACATTGCGTAAGCATTTATGAGTTTATGAATAATACATATCAGAAAGCTTATGAATAATACACCACAAAACCTCATAGCCTAATCAAGTTGGAAATTAAAAGGTCCGTGGCTGCGCCACTCGCCTGGTCTCCTGTCCAGTCGCTTTGCAGTTACACACACACACGTACACAGAGCATCGAAGGCCTTGACGAAAGGCTAACTAGGAGGTGATGTGTGATCCTTCCTTCCGAGAACAGTGTTCTTGAGTCATTGAGTCATGTTCCCACCGTACGTAACGATCGAACGTCAGAACAAGAGACCACCGGCCGTGTAGCTGGAGGAACCGTTGCCCCCCCCTCAAACTCTAGACTCGACGTATGAGTGAAAGCGCCCTCCATTGGTAGCAATACCAAAGATACTGAACAGCGCTGCGATGCGAAACTCGTAGTGCAACTGCAAGCATATCGCATCCAACATCCCCTTGTAGCCTGAAACGGTACACTTGATATGCTGAGTTGAATTTAGTTACTGGGTAGGCCTAAATTGTGCTTTTCTCTGGTAAGTGATATTCTTTGCTTAGTGGATGAATTGGAAAAGGTGCAGTACGAAAAATGTCTCATGAACGTGTTCCGTCATGTTGCCCAGGCTAGGCATGCCAGGTTGGACCACGGTTCCTTCATTCATTGCCGTTGGTGTCATTTTACACGTAGGCCCAGCCTAAATAAAATTACACCGTCCTGCTGGGGATTGTATATTTTGACACGTACTAAGGAGACCTAGATTTTAACTTCTGGCTTTACCCATAGAGCAGTATGGTTTACCTAGGTAGGGCCTGGATGACTGTGACATCTGTAGGGTCATGAGGGTTGATGTTGTGAAAAGAGGGCAGGATTTTGAGTTTTGAGTGAATTTAGGGGAAACTGGTGGGAGTTTTAACACATGACACATGGCGGAGTCGAGGGGGGACTGACCAGTTTTGCAAGATTAAAATGAAAAAACTGGGGTCCCTAAGTACATGATGTAGGGCCTACATAATCCCCCATGAACACAATGAAAATGTTCATCAGGCATACTCAGTCTTGCCAGTCTATATGTATGTAATGTTTGTATGAAATGGGTTTTTAAGAGTCACTGTCTTGTTTAATGATGTTTAAGTGCAAGCCTACATGTAACTCTCAGACAAATTTATTGCACTCCTTTCTGAGTTTTGTATCCCATGAATGGATGTTATTCAAAGGCAAACCAACTCAGGATGGAGTACGATAAATTGTGCCAGGTTCAAGATTTCACTTAACGATCATGCAAGAATGTACAGGTACGTGTGTAGACGTATGTAAGTTAGACAACAGTTTTTTTGAAGTGGGTGCTGGGACCCGCTGATTTTTGGATTCAGAACTAGAAAAAGAGATAATTTTGTTTAGTTTAAGAAGTCTCAGATCGGCCAAAAAACAAATTACCAATAGAAATGTGCTCTAAGAAAACATTAGTTTTTTGTTCAGCTGTCCGACTGACGTCAAAGCCCCCGATTCCAATTTATGAGCTTTGGTCTTTGGTGGCTAGCACTAGTGGTAAGGGATACCTCTTTTTTTGTTTCTTTTTTTTTAAATTAATTTTTTTGTTGTATTTTTCCCTGTCAAGACCCTAATTTGTTTTTCTGGAAATCATAGGAAATCTTTCTTTGTTTTTCTTCCGCCCACCTCTACAACCTGTCTTAAAAAATCCGAGCTTCAATGAAGAAAAATGTATATGGATAGGCTCATTTGTGGTCGTTGTACATGTACATGTAGCTTGAAATTATATTTCCGATGACAAGAGCATTTTACTCATTAGCTCAATCTTTCGCAAAGCTCTAAATTACAATTTTGGTAGAAACGATAACGGGGCGACGAGTGAGCTTACATGTAGGATCAACCTGTTATATGAACTATAGTACAGTACAGTGCAGTGCACCACCAATATGATAAGGTCATTTGAGAACAGAGCTTATGTGCGAGTTATCGTGTGGGTGAAAGGACAGGCCATGGGTCCTACAGTATCACAGACATGCCTCATTTGAGGCATGCGCCGTTGGAATGTACATGTGTACCAATCTGGCCCTTTCGTTACCATTTGGTCGTTTTGTATACGTGTTCATGTATGTGAATGCACATGATCCTGCCAGTACCGGGGTACATGTAGTTACCCCTATCCAATTTGTTTACTTGCGATGAAGGCTGGCTGTAAATAAAGGAAAATTAATAAGCTTCTACTTCACTTCACTTTATTTCTTCACAAAGGTGGAGGGACCGCTAAGAAGCGCAGCTTGTCGAGTAGGGGCCCCTTTACGGACAAAACTGGACATGCAGAACAAGAACAATACAGATAAATCATCTAACAATTAATATCTAACAATTAACAAAGAAAAGGTGTATATAAGTACCTGTACATGTACATGAATTCATAGACAAATAAAATAATAAAACCTGTAATCTGTAGCCTGTAAGGCTCAGTCATTTGCCTTTAATTATTCAGTAAACACTTCTTATTATTTCTGTTTGAATAGCGATAAGGTGGGTAAATCCTTATGAGATAAAGAAGGGTAGTACTCGCGAAGAAACCAAAATGCAATAAAATGCGTACATGTACAAACTGTTGGAGCCATTTTATCCTCTGTTTAATTCTCAGGTCCTACGATCCTGCCTCGAGACAAGCTTCTTGAATTAGGTATGGCTACCAAAGGAGGAACTGGTCCAGTGGGCGGAGCCAGCGGAGGACCTAATGGTGGGGGGCGACGGCGGAGGAGACGGGGCAGGTCAAAGGTGAGTGCTTCACAACAGCATTGATTTGTACATGCATTCCATATTCCATTGGAGAAGTTTTAAAACACATGTACGTGTATGTTAGTGAGATAACAACTTTGGATTTTCATGGTACGGCCTTCAGAGTACAATAAGGGATATTTTCTTGTATCCAGGAAAGTCAGGACCACCTCGGGTGTCTCAATCAACTTGTATCTAGCCCAGACTTGGAAACATGTACTGTATCCGTACCGATATGTGTGATTTGTTAAATCCCAGGTGCCTGTAAGTTGGATTTGCCGGATGATATTGTTTCTAATTTTGTGGAGTGGATTATTAAAATGAATGTACCCTATCTGTGAAATACTGGTAATACATACGCAAAATCAAATTTGCCTTTGAAAGCATTAAACATCTTGGATATGTTTCTTATTAATCCTACCCTCCTCTTATCGATTACATGTACATACCTGAAGTACCAGCAACCAGTTACAATTGATGTACCGCTGCTTCTGAGTTAGCCACACCCCTTAACAACCATGTGGCCTTTTGTATGTTCAATTTTGTTGTTTTGTCTCAGATTCTGCATGTTGACTATGGGTGCACCAAGTACATACCGGTATATCTCATTGGACAATATTTCACAAGCTGCATTGATGCGATTCTACTGTGATTGGTCGATTGTCCAGTTTATCTTCTAATAATCATTAAACATCTCTGGTGATGAAACCGAGGATTCCTCAGAAGAGCCCAAGATGTTTTTTTTTCACAAGGTTGAAGAAACATGATGAGACAATGAGTAGCAGTTACATGTAGGAAACCCCAGAACACTATCCTGGGCAAAACCCATAAAATCAGGTACATGTTGGGACTGAAAACCCAACCCACTCGTGGACAGAGCGTGGAATCGAACCCTGGCCACAGAGGTGAATAGGGATGAAAGAACCACGGAATCATGTTTGCCACCAATTGTCAAGTCCAACCGTCATTTCACAAGCTGTTTGATGAATTAACAATGTTTGGCCACCACCTTTGTTATCGTTCGTCCCTCTCTAGTTTTGACCAGACCTGGCTGCCACCCGACTTGTGATCAACACCTGCTCATTTTAATGTCCATCATTTCACTCGAATAACTGTTTCAGTATTTAGGATTCCATACTTTCATTACGAATGCCAACAGCAGGTGACAAGTCAAGACACTGACAGGCAGTGCATTGTATCATTCAACCAAACAATTGAAGCAAAGTGCCATCCAAAACTCCCAAAGCTTTTGTCTGAATGACATGCCCTTTTTGAACAGGTGGTTACAGCACTTCACAAAGCTAAACTTGCATTTTGCATTTAATTAATGGTCAGGGCCTACAAATTACAACTTGATGTACATGTAGACTGCCAAAACAGTTCAACGTGATTCAGCTTTACCTACAAGTACATGTACTCTCTGTGTCCATGTCAATCACAATAAAAGCATGTCCACATGACTGTCTATCTCCACAGACTTTTATATGTATGCTGTCTGCATCTCTTTCATGTTAATATGGAAGCTAGGCTTAAATCACAACATACTGAAAAAGGAAGTTACATGTACCAAAGCTGTTTTTCTTCTTTTTTTTTTGGTGGTAGACACAAGAAGATTCCAGAGATGACTTCAGCTCTCCCCACGTCAGCAAGCCGACAATTATCCTTGCCAAGTCAACCACTTCTCAACCCCAGGTATTTCCAGTCTTGATCCTCGAGGACATTTTTTCTAAAACGAAATAAGTTTGTAATTGTCAGACATGCCAGAAGTTCCAGCATCTCTCCTAGATTAACTTGAAATTTGCAATCACAGTGCTCAAAGTTCAAATTCATTGGCCATAACTTGGTGCTTCTTTAATCTGAACATGTACATGTACTCAGTCACATGACCTACAGTGGGTGTCAAACAGCAGCAAACATTGCATTCTCCCATAGCAAAGCGTAAACTACGGTGAAATACTCAGACAACTGATGTGGTAAGTACTATACTGAAAATCAACTTTACTTTTTAATAAATAACACTTACTGTAAAACACACTTTGCTAAGGGAAGAAGCCATGTTTTCTTGATGTTTAGTACCCACTGTACCGATAGGTCACGTGACTTACATGTAGCAGGTGCAATCGGTCTATTGCCTGTCAACTGTTTCAGATTCGAACACATGCAAACTCAACAAGGGTTTTTTGTCCATTTTACTGTAATCCTTCACAGCCGTCATCAGGGGTGGGTGCCTACATACATGTATATAACTCAATTGATTTCACAGCGGCAGTGCCCAATGTCAAGAAATACATGTAGCCTAGGCGTTGTAAAAAGCTGGTCACAGAGAATGCCTTTAAAATAATTTCATGTGAAAAATGAGTTCTGTTACATATACTGGTAAAGAGCGTTGAAGGAACAAGCATAGATCAAAAGTCTTTGCCCCCGTGTTTCGTAACAGGGGGGCACAGATGTTTGCTCTTTATATTCGTCTAATTTCTAGGGCATCACAGATCCTTGCTGATCCATGTGTGGGATCCATTTCATTCCCGTAGACTAATTCAGGTAGGCGTCATTGCTACACAGTGGCACCGTATTGCCATCGTTAAACTTGATGCCATGCCAGCATTTTAGCAAGGCTGAGAATGCACACATACTGTTGAGTGAAGAGGCATATGTGTGACCAATGCACTTCAACTATCCAAGAGCACATGTGGTGCCACCTCATTAATGCTTTCTAGTCACTGCTTTAGTCCATAAATCCTCCCTGAGAAATATTCGCCAATCTGGGGATTTGTTTTTGGTTACCTTTTTCAAATTGGTTTGCAGGGCTTGAACAAAGGTTTTGATACATTTAAATGGGAAGAACCACCCCAACATGGGCTGGGTAGCTCAACGGGTAGAGCATGGGTGCAGTATTCCAGAGGTGGCAGGTCCAAATCTGGCTGCAGTCGTCGTCGATTTCTTTGTTCATCTTTACAATCAATATGTGAACATCAAGCCACTTTCTGTAGAGTTTGTTTGGTAGTTTTTGCAGGGGTAAAATTTCTCAGGATTTCTGTCCACTGACTCTGGGTACGCACATGGATGTCTGAGCCAAAATGTCCTTTTAGTGCCAGGTAGGACAGTGTGTTTGTCGTTGTATTTGTAGAGTAAACCTGAACTGTATGGCTCCTCGCCTGATCGTGGGGGTGCCACTCCCTCAACCCAAGCAGGCGAAGTCTCCAAGTCCACCCCACAGTTCAAAATCATCACCCGCCAGAGCGAGACCGCCCCTGCCCGCCCTGTTCCTGCCACAGCGCCCATGGGCACGGTCTCTTTGGCAAGTGCAGCCCTCTACCAGTCCCCCGTCACCTACGGAAGTTCCCCTTTGACCGGATTGGCTGACGTTGGGCAGGCTGCCCACAGTCAGCCACAGGTGGTGGGTCAGGGTGCCAGACCACTGTCGCAGCAAAGCACAGCCCCTGCAATTACCATTGAAGGTAATTATGATTACAATAGACGTTGCTATTTTAATTCTAACCCTCTAGGGTACTTTGGTTAGAAACCCTGCCAGACACGTCAATCTGCATCATTTGTCAAAGTGGCTTGCCTGTTTAGTGTAACAAGATCCAACAGGTCAACTCTCCCCAAGGCCAAACAGCCTGACACTGCGTTTACACTTGATCTAGTGAGCAGGATCAGATCCGGATCAAAAACGTGTGTAAACACAACGCTGGATCAGATCTTGACCCCGGGATCTGATCCTCCTTTTGGGAAGTCTGATCCTCCTTTTGGGAAGGATCAGATCCGGTTCATATCCTGCGCGCGGGATCAATTTGCAAGTGTAAACGCAACACTGGATCAGATTCGAATCAGATCCCGGAATTTGAAGTAACTGCATCCGGTGCAAGTCTTGAAGCGAGCGAAAAACAAGTCTGTGTCATCGTGAAGACTTACATGTCATGTATACTTGCATGACATTGTACACGCACCATACATACGCTGTTGGTCCGGCCGCTACGTACATAACCAGCATTACGCTGGTTCCCAATTAAGCCTATGTGCTTTCGTCCTGTGAGTTGGTAGTAAACTGGTACTTGCCCATTCCCATGCTTTATCCACGTCGCCTTTAGTTACTTCCATTACTGCTACATATCGCTGATCCAAAACCTTCCATTTCCCCATTTTTCATTGTTTCATCTGAAACTACGTAAGATAAGACGGGACGTATGTACAGGGCGTAAGTGCACGTAGACTGGCTGACATTTTGCTCCACTGCACATAATCAGCGAACTGTTCCCATAACCTTTGCCCCGAGGTTGCAGTGCTTCATCGATGCCACGCGGGATCAGGATCCGTTGTAAACGCGGCACGGATCTGATCCTCTCGCGTGATTGCTCTCGCCGGATCTGATCCTCCTTTGCAGGATCAAGTGTAAACGCGGCGTTTGTGGTTTCCAGTTGACATAAGATCCAACAGTGGCATTGTTCAATGGCATTAGCTCCCATTGTCTCAACATAACCAGTTTGTTGGGCTGCTTTTGACTAACCAGCGCATCAAACTGCACCAGACTCTTCCACCTGTTGCACAATGCTGTATCTGACAGGATTAGGCCAGTTTTATTTCCTTTCATAGTAGTATAAAATAAAATATAGTAGTCACTTGATATTCTAACTGAAATTTGTCTTATTTTGTACCAAACAAATTGAGTTGTCACTTTAGGCCTGTGCCAATTATTTCAATAATGAGATATTTGATATATTCTTGCGATTTTAAATATGCCAACATTGAGTCAATGAAACAAAACAGGAAAAAGTCAGTTATTTTGTCACATGAAAAAGTTGCATTCTAAAAGCATATTTGACAGTGCTATGAGTCAACTTAAAACAACTACATGTAAATGTACATTGCATGCCCAACTTGAATATGGCCAAAAGTTACTTTTCCTCGAAGGTTTTTTTTTCAGCATTTTGTAAATATACGTTCATTAAATTTGAATTTGCTTTTGTGTGAATTTGGTACTACCAATTCATATTTTCTCCCGAACAAAAGGTCGAAAATTCAATTGTACCGTTACTGAAATTGACGCATTTCTGTGTGGATGTGGTCTTTTTCCTTGCAGTTCCTGTTCACAATAGATTGACAGCGCCCATGGAAATGAAGCAGAGCGTGCGACTCGTAGATGACAACTTCCAGTGGTGTGACAATGGAATGGAGGTAGGCTCAGGTGAAACTTCACACTAACAGTTCCTGGCCACAGTGGGTGCTGTCACCCAGGTTGACACCAATCAGCTCTGAGCTGTTGGATTACTCTGATGTTAAAGCTTAATACAGCAGTATCAGTTTAAGAGTCCTGCCACATGCGTGCTCTAGTCTTGTCGGCCCATCCTGCAGCTGGAGCAGAAACACAGACTTTTGTTTTGTTTGTAAACAATGACCACCTTTTGGTTTACACAGAGTGACTTATAACCAGCTGGTTCATACATGAACCTAGCATAAGAATTATGCAAAAAAATATGAGGTCAGATCAAAAGTTCACTTTGCGTATTTGTGCAAGCTGAATGCATTTCAACCCTAGCGCATTTCACTGCCAGCATTTCAAATCGTCCAGTTTGCTTCGCTTGTGCATTCACCAAACTAGCCTTTAACTGGTTACAGTTTTGTCTCAAGATGCACACTTGCTTTATCGCTGATTTGTTTTCTCTTAATTCATGTATTCGTAATTAATATTCATTAGTTGCATATTTTGTAGTATACTGCTTGAGAAGTTTTGGCGCCCTCGAGAAGGGTTCCAGCTTTCAGTTGGCATAGACCTTATTCACTTGGTAGTCAATCTTATTCCCTGAATCAGTTTCATAAATTGTAAACTGTTGATTTCAATGGCACCAGGCTGTTTTATGATTACCTTGCATTCCAAGCCCCTCTTTCAGTATTTTTCTGAATGTGGCTTAAAGCACCAAGGTATATTTGTGTATGTTTAGTCACATATTTGCAATATTCAGCAGAGATAAGTACTAATTTCTCATGAATCTCATTTTATCACTCTCATTTCTACTCAAACATTCAAACTCAAGTAGCTATCCTCGCTTTCAACTTTGATATGGTCGACCCATGAGTAAAGTTGTTGCAAAATGGTGAATATATCCAGATTTTGACTGGAACCCTGAGCAGAACAAAAATAGGTTTAATACTTAACAGAAAATCTAACTAGCCATAAAATCAGTATTCAACTGAAGGTTTCTGTATTATTTAACATTTTTCTGATAGAACTCTATTTCAGTGATATTATAATTGAATCGTAAAACAAAAATCGATATTGTTGATAGTAATAATTAATAATTGAATCTATGTTTTATTCAGTTGTTGCTAGACCAGACCGACTTTCTTGTAGTGGGTGTCCTGGGCCTGCAGGGCAGTGGGAAATCAACACTGATGTCCATGCTGGCCGGTAACAAACCAAGTGACCAGCAGAGGTGAGTGTGGGGCCCAAAACAAGAGTGGGAACTGAAAAAGCAAGGAGTCCTCATCAGTATGGAAATAAATCAAGTTTTGAAATATACATGTACTGTATATTTATCTTACAAACTAAATGTAGGTGTTGATATCTGGCCAGTCTGAATAGTATATTTGTATTGTGCCAATAATAGATTGGTACAAGTGGTCGTTAACAGTGTTTATGCACAATCAACCTGTTGGCCACACTCAATGTGTTGTTCACAGCAGAACCTTACCTACCACACCAACATGTAATATATCTTGATAGGTACACACCACCAGCAGCCCCATCTCAAGACAAAAGTCCATGCATGATTACATAACTCTGTGGTACATATTAACCCCTAACCCTCCAAGGGTATAATGTTCTTGGCTACAAACCCTGCTAGAGGCTTCAGACTGCATCGTTTGTCAAAGTGGCATGCCTGCCCAGTGTAACAAGATCCAACAGGTCAACTCTCCCCTAGGCCCAAGAGACTGGGAGTCTGTGGCAAAGTGCCCACAGAGTTTTTCACCTGATGGACTGCGCTGCGCCTGGCAGGGTTAGGATCAAACTGTCCTATCAACTGATTGCGGCATCCTGTCTTTTGCATTAATCACTTAGTCACAAAAGTCCTGCGCTGTGACGCACAAATAGTTTAAAGCGCAAACTCTGCCCTGTGGGATTGACTGATTTGATGGCTGTGCAAGCAATCAGATGATGGCAGCATAATTGACCAATAGCTGTGGGAATAGCAGATTGCATGTTAGCACGCAGTGAAACCAACCAGTTGTACGGAACTCACTGGTGATGTACATAGGCCTATAATTCTTTAAACTATAAAACGCACACATTATATTTCCAAATTTTGTATGATTTTTGACTTCTTAGTTGGGGTGTTGACCATTGAAACCCCTTGTTCAATCCCAGTCAGTATCTAACGCTGGATTCAAAAGCAATTCCCTTTCTGCCAGCACAGCTCATTCATTTTCAAGCCACAAGCCAAAGAGATCCGAAACCAGTCTATGCACCAGACCATGGGTGTTGACTTCTTTGTGACCAATGAACGGGTCATGCTGCTGGACACGCAGCCGGTCCTCAGCTCCTCAGTCATGGACCACTTGCTGAGTCATGAGAAGAGTCTGCCGCCAGACATGACGTCAGCCGAAATCTGCCACGAGATTCAGGTAGTTTTTTAATGCTTCAGAAAACGTCTTGTCATTTTAACCTTTAGCAAGTCTGACGATGAACCCTAGCCTGACCCTGAGCCAACTCTTTCTTTGCAGTGCAGTAGAGTCTCGTGAACCAAATGACCCCAGTTGAATAACTTTGAATTGCCACGCACGTTTTATAGTTGGTTTTATGTTGAGGTGCTTAGTAGGTCACTGTAATCCACACAACTACGTCATATTTTCATGTTAGGGTTGCCCACTAAACTTCATTCTGAAAAGACTTGATAACCCGTGATGGACCTTTGTCCAAGGGCCTGGTTCATTAAGATCAACCAGACTTTATTGAGTGTGACCTTGAGTGACATCATTTGAGTGACAGTGATCAAACTGTGGTTAATTGTACCTGTAGTTACATGTGGGGATATGTGGCCTAGTGGTCGGGGTTTATAACTCCTGATCAATGGGGTCAGGTTGTCAGAGTCCAGTAGTGGGGCATACATGTACATGTTGACTCTGTCATGAGGCAAGTCGCCACACCTCCAGTTGCCAGTGTTGTAGGTCTCCAGACCTGGTGTCGGTCTCAAGACCGTCTCGAGACCTTTTTTTGCGGTCTCGGTCTCACCCTGTCAAAGTCTTGGTCTTGGGAGGGCCGGTCTCAGTCTTGAAAACGCCGGTCTCGGTCTTGGTCTTGGATGCCATAGTCTCGGGTCTCCCCCTTGAGACCAGTTGAGACTATAAGAAAATAGGCATCTAGCTACTAAGGATGCACGCGGTTGAAAAAGTGCAAAATTACCACCACTCGAGTCAAATCTTCAACCACTGATATAAATACAACACAGTAATGTTCAGATTTTTTGCAATAAACAATGAAATCGATGCTGGAATGAAGACTAGTCAATGCAGCATGATGCAACCATGTCCCAAGTTGTTACTTTATTTCCAATCCAGAGTAGCCATGCTGCTTGACACCATGGAGATGAGGTTGTGAGTAGCGGAATTCGCACACTGGACTGGTTCCTGTTTCCTACGTAGTCTCCTGAACATAGGACCGGGACGGGAACCAATCTGTGTGCGTGCACACGCTATGAATTGTGTGCACATGTGAAAGTGCTTTCATTCGGTCTTGTATGTGGTACGTGTTGTTTTAATAATTTCGTTTCGGTACATCTTTTTGGGATATTTGTTTTTCAGTAATTTGCTTACAGAAAACAGTCTAAGGATATTTGTTTTAATGTTCACATCATATCATTTGGGACACTCGGGTTGAAAATGACCAGACCATGGTAAAAGTAGAGCACTATCACTGATAAAAGAACTGAGTCATTCTTTAACAAATATTTGACCTATTTGTGTGGGTGTTTATGCTAATCTTTTCATTTTATTTCTTTTGTACTGCAATATGTTTGTCCCTATATGGTAAAAACTGAACATTTATGGTTGGTCTCGGTCTTGGTCTCGGATGTCGTGGCCTCGGTCTCAACCTGCGAAAGTCTCGGTCTCGAAGTCTTGATCTTGGTGTCTCGGTCTTGGTCTCCGACATCAAGGTCTTGGATACAACACTGCCAGTTGCTTTTCTCAACCGAGGAGTATAAATGGGTACCTCTGGGTGCAGAGATGTTTGGTATATTTGATTATTAGTTCGTACTTGAAATGGAAGCGTTAAGCTGTATACTCTTTTGGGAGCTGAGATGGTTTGAGGCTATGTCCCAAAGAGCAGGGACAGGTATATGTCCTGTCGTAAGCACCAGTACTGTGGATGTGTTCCTTACGAATATCCAGTACGATTATTAGAGTTAAATTGTGAAATGGCCCCATGCTGTGTGGCCTAAATCGTACTGTATGAACGGTTCACTTGCTTTGGCCATCTGTGAAGGATAAGTTGTGAATCCTCGGACTTCTGCTGAGATGGAGTTGAGTATGCTCGACTGATTTATTCCTTAAGGGTATATGATACGAGTTTGCAAAATTGAACACAATTGAATAGTTTGAATATGATTTTTTTTTTTGAATGATGATTTTGGCAATTATTCCTCGTTCTTTAGAGTGTACAGTTTAGCTCTTGTTATTAAACGGTGCAGGGGCCTGTCAAAGCACCTTGATATAAGGGCCGGCGACCATTTAGACCCGGTTTGAAAAGGACCCCCGGTAAGCTCGCCCTGTTGCAAAAACCCCTTTCATACCGGCCTGGCTACCGGCCTGGGATGCTGGACTGGTTGTTGATCTCGAACTTCTCCATCCTGGGGTCTATTGTTGGCAAGTACTGGTACATGTAATCTATCCCAGAAGGAACATGCTTGTGGTTTTTAATCCTTCAGCTCTATACAATTTTTACACTAATCCGCTTAGACCCCTATTCATCTGTGGAAGCTTGGTGGGGGAAGCCTTTCATCAGGGACTTTGAAATGTCGATGTACAGACAGGCCTGATACCGGCCTGGAGTAGCCTGAATACCGGGCAGGCATTATACTGGGTAGGCTTCCCGGGGGGGGGCCCTTTTCAAACCGGGTCTAAATGGTCGCTGGCCCTAACCAGGACCTTGTTATGAAAGGGCTGGAAAAGATGATTCATAAGATGGGACTTTCAGAATTGGCTCTTTATTCTAGTGTTTGGTTAATCAGCGGTGCTCATGCTGCTGAGGGTCGGTAGTGTCTGTTCACAGATTCCGCTTGCTTTGCTCCCCAGTCTCTCCAACTGGCAGCTTTCCTCTTCACCGTCTGCCATGTGGTTCTCGTGGTCCAAGACTGGTTCCTGGACATGAATCTGATTGAGTTCATCAAGAGGGCGGAGATGTTGAAGCCACCCACCCCTGCCCCAACTCCGGCGATGGAAGGGACCAGCAGCGAGGACACGGAAGACTTCTTTCCAAACATTGGTGAGTTTGTAACCAGCTGGGCTGGATGGAGTGTTCTGTAGGCCCTAGTCATGTTTTCCATTGGCCTTTGGCACAAGTGTGCCATCGGCCTGTGGCACCATTGTTCCAATGGTCTGTAGTGCGAGTGTCCCATTTGCTCTAGGCAACAGTGTTCCATAGTCCCCAGGCACTAGTGTTCTATAGGCCCTAGTCACCAGTGTTCCATAGACCCCAGGCAACTGGCTCTATAGTCCCCAGGCACTAGTGTTCTATAGGCCCTAGTCACCAGTGTTCCATAGACCCCAGGCAACTGGTTCTATAGTCCCCAGGCACTAGTGTTCTGTAGGCCGTAGTCACTGGTGTTCCATAGACCCCAGGCAATAGTGTTCCATAGTCCCGAGGCACTAGTGTTCTATAGGCCCTCAGCCCTATACACCCTTGGCATCGTGAGAAGATTTTTCCTCAACTTTTGAGTTGTTTACATCATTTCTAAATATGTTTCTTTTGTTTAAAGCAGATTTGTAAAGTTTGGTAAAACTGCACGGAAAATCTGGGGGCCTATAGGGATGTTCGGTATACCCTAATATTCAGTAAAGCGGTGTTCATTATAGCGATGTTCATTATAGCGGTATTCATTATAGCGGTGTACATGATAGCGGTGTTCATGATAGCGGTGTTCATGATAGCGGTGTTCATTATAGCGGTGTTCATGATAGCGGTGTTCATGATAGCGGTGTTCATGATAGCGGTGTTCATGATAGCGGTGTTCATGATAGCGGTGTTCATTATAGCGGTGTTCATGATAGCGGTGTTCATGATAGCGGTGTTCATGATAGCGGTGTTCATGATAGCGGTGTTGATTATAGCGGTGTTCCACTGTATGGCACTGTGAGTAAGCTATTGTACAATTGCACTCTTTTATGAGCGAGTAAGCGTCTGAAAAGAAGTTTTGGACTGAATGTTTTGGACAGTATACTCTGTTCGTTGTCCGGTGATAGACGAAATCAGAAGTTCTCGGTCTCTTGGCAACAGATAGGTAGAGCAACGTTAAGTCCACTAGAATCTCACTGCCACACCTACCATGCAAACTTTCAAATGGGTCATTCTATCAATTAGGGGCCCATTTTTTTTTCATGTCCCTGTCACACCTGACGTGATTTTGTATTAAGTCCAGAACACGGTTTCTAATTTCCAAGAGCAATGAATTAATGCAAACAAATAGAAATAGTTTGAAATCAATTGTAGTGATAATCCCAGGTTGGGTGTAACAGGCACACAAAAATGTCCCACTTTTTGAACCCTGAATTTGTAGAATGACCCAAATCTTACTTGTAGTTTCACCAGCATTCATCCTTGTCTCTGGAACAATTCCTTTTGGCCTGTACACCTGTTACAGTATTTGTGTTGAACAAAGCCAGGCAGGAGGATTTCCAGCTAACAGTGGTCCAGTCCATGCATCAGACAATTGACAGACTCTTCAAAGACTCCAAGCTGACATTTCAAGGTAAGGGGACTAAAGAAGATGGTGTAATCTGCCTTGTGCAGAAGCACCCCCTCATTGGTTGAAAAGAGCCATGTTAGTGGGGAGTGTTCATTTTGTTGGTTGTAATGCATGCATTTCATAGTCTTTGTGAACCAGGAAAGTGCAGTTCCCACCAAAGGAGCCCTCTCTTGGTCCCGCTCTGGGGGAATTGCTAGTTACATGGGTTGGTTGTGTGAGTGAATAACCAGATGATGATTTCCCATTTACATCTCCCATCCCCTACAGCGTGCAAAATCAAAATTCACTTGTCAGTGAAATTCAGCCCCCAATTGCTTTCAATTTGTGGCTAAACTATTGATCTTTCTCAGTGAAAACAACGGCAAAACAGATACAAACAGCGGTAACATGCTGCACAGGATTAAGTTGAGAGAGTCATGATAGCCAAATAAGTCATAAACAGATTGTGTAAATTGGCTTATCTACCGTAACCACCCCAATCTCCCAAAACTAAGCACAATTTCACAAAGCTGCTGAGCAGACTGATGCGCACAGCAAACATAAGCCAAGAACCAGTCAAAGAAGTATATGGTTTATGAAAGTTATGTTGGTACCCATGTATGCCAAGGAGGTACATTGTAGTTTCTGGGCTTAACAAATGGGCTGCGTCCGAATTACTTGGCTTTGACTTAAAATTAAACATTACTCTATTGGTAGTAGCTGCTGCAGACTTCAGCCAAGTAATTCGCAGGTGGCCAAAGTTTCATGGTCAGCAGCTCTGTGATACTGGGCTTTCATTTACGTGTACTATTTTGATGGATTCAGGATCGTTAATAGCCATTTTGTGACTGGTGCAGATTTACGCACAGGTCCAGTTCACATTTACATGTATTCCATCCCTTGCATTTGTATTCACACAAAGAACTTTAACTGTCAGATATGAAAGGACAGTATACGGTTAATTGAAAATTTTTTTGCATACCCCCCCGGAAGCTGATGTAATATAAATTGCCATGCCTGACCCCAGTTACAGACAGTGGGTATGTGCTGGGACACCTGCTAATCCCCCTTCTGCACACCCACACACCCTTACATACATGTTTATATACTTGTGGGCTACTTCCTTTGTTCTCTTGTACAAAACTCCCAAACAACACAGACAAAATATAATATCACTGCCATTTCAACCAAATTCAGTTTCCTGGGTCGAAATTTCGACCGTATGTCCCTTATATCAAACACTTCAATTTGCGATAGATGAATGGCACTTGAAAATTCCTCCTTTTTGAGTAAATTTGAAATATCTATTTTGTGAAATTTTTGTAGGGTACCACTTAAGTACCCCACAACGATCAAAACTGGCCTTGTGGGGTACCTTCCATTGTTCCGGCACCCCACAAGGCACCATGTACAAGTGCTCACATGTACACAACCAAGTCTGAGAAGTCAGTGGAGGCAGGCCATGTGTAATTACAACTAATTGTTTATCTAAAGACCCTGACTACTTTACATGTATAGGCTGAATTGAAGTCAGTTTAAGATTAACCCCTGCAGTTCCTGTTGTGCCCATAAGGCGCCCCCGAAATCGGTCCATTTTTGTCATGTTTTATATAGAACCCACACGGACAGTGACCTCTATCATCACATTGAAGTGTACGTGTACATATAGCTTGGGTATTCCCCTAGCAGATGCAATTACGAAAGACTACTGTTGCTCAAGAAAATAATAACATAATGGCCTTTCAAAGAAGCTGGAAGTATGTAGCTCATTTTAGAATTTTGTGCATCGTACATGTGTGTTATACTACGTGTAAAGAGTTACTGAAGTGACTACGTCATGCGCATAATTGTGTGTGGGAAAGGCATGAGAGCGAGAATCAGCGTGCGAACCAACACGTGCGTGTGCTCCACTTGTTCGCACTACACTTCCTGGTTCACAGTAACGTCACACTTCAGTACTCTCTGGGCCTTCTCATAATTGTATACAGCACGTGTACATGTAGGTGCACATACATAGCACATGAGTGCTGCATGCATACGTTCATTTGGCATTGATCATGGCGACTTTTCTGATAATGACGCTGCAAAATGTCTTGCAGGAAATTGATAAAAATGTATGCACTCATGTAGATCAAAATGATTGCAACAGTGCAGATTTTAGATCTAACACATGTAGATCTTCTTGGAAGAGATTGATGTTTCACATGCATTTACTGCAGTGTTTCGGGGGAAATATTACTTCAATACTAAAATGAGGTAACGGCAAAGTAAATTCCAGTGACCTTGTTATTAGCCAGCTGTGTTTGGTTTCTCCGTGATTTGACTCACACAATTATTTTGAGACTGTTCCTTGATGATATTGCTGAAGTGTCAACCTGAATAAATGCTGTTATATCGGGAAAAGGGTTTGCTTCCAAGGTCGTTGATTTTTTTTTGATTTTTTTTTTGAATTTAAAAAATCGGATTTTTTTGTTTGAGAAATTTAAATCAAATAATTTGATTAAGTTCACAAACCCCCATCTCTAACCCTTGGTGAAACGCATGCAGTATAACGCCTACATGCACATGTACTAGTACATGTACCCTCAGAGAAGACACTTCCTTCAGGGGCAAATACATGCACATATACCGAGGATAAAGTGCATACCAGGTTTTAAACCGAACTCTAAGTTTTGACAAAAGTAGAGTTCACAAGAATTTGTTAATAGGGTACTTACACAAGCATCAAATGACTAATGAGTGACAAACATGCCATGAACAACAGGTGCATGCATTTATTTTTCATTCTACAAGTGTACCTGTACAAAATGTTGGTATTTTACCTTGCTCTATTTGCAAAAAGCAGACTCATTTTGTTTGTGACCCAGCTCCACAGAGCAATGGCGTAGGCTTGATTAAAAGTCACTTTATTAAGGGTATGAATTTAGTGGTTTTAGTTGTAACACTATAAACCATGGAGGAAGGACACAGAACGAGTTTGAACTGCCCAGCCTATGGCTGTAACAGCCAATGGACTCGGCCTGTTGTTGCAAATATCTTTGTTGCAGCAACCAGAGTACTGAAAATATGCCATTTGGAAATATCAAGGATGTTGAGTCAGTTTTTGTGGCCTAGTGGCTTGTTTTGTATCAGAAATTGGCCACTACGTGTATGTATGTGTATCTTGCCTTTTTTGTCTGGGCGTGGTCAGTTGTAAGCAGTCAGACTAAAATGTGATTCAACCCATTCCTGATTCATTCCGACTTGAGTGAAAACTGATTTTAGTTACCCTTAAATGGTCCCTCTTTTTATAACATGGCCTGTGTGAGTTAAGCAGAAGATATGAGCCAAACTTCCTTTCTACCCTTTAAAGCTCCAGTACGCTTAACACAGAAGGTTCCTGTGCAGTTTGAGCAACACGTACAGTAATGGTTGAAATTGGTCCCTTGACTTATTAAGAATTAAAGATCCGTGGATCTATGGCAGAGTGAATGACAGCAGCAGAGTTAAGGTACTGACTGGTTACTCTAATTCAAACAGATTACATTTTCTTGTTTCTTCTCAATTTCCCATACATGTGCTTACTGGTACGGGACTTTTTTTGTGTCATTTTCACACAAAAGAATCAAATATTGCGAGTCATGAAATATCTTGACACTGTGTGTATTCCAAGAGAAGTGAGCAGGTTTTTACTCAGATTTTTATTTTCATCTCGTTCATTAATTCCTTTTTCTTCTGTCATATCTGAGCATTACTCATCAGCAGTGTTACATGTTAATCTTAGTTTGGAATCCTCCAAAATCTCCCCAAATGCCCAACTGTTCAGAAACGTGGGGTATTCCATTGATATTTCAACTTTCAAGGAGCACCATGCAAAGGATAAGAAAGAACAGTTGGGCCCTACCTTCCTCAACCTTATGAAATCATCAAACAGCCTCTGGTGGATTTTGAAGGATCTGGAAATCACTAGTGTTAAAGACAAACTTGTTTCTACACGTAAGTTACATGATTGATCTCGGTGTAGCATTTGACTTTCTGGAAGATCTTGATAGAGTTCTTGTCAGCTACAGCAAGCTCGCTGGCAGGTGTTAGTGCCAAGCCCAGTGGATTGCATAGCTGCTGGATAATGCAGCCAACCTTCCTGCCCTCATTGTCGTAGTGGTGGATTTCCCCCGTGCCACGACCCAGCCCCAGATAAATGCTCCATCGACCCTCACAGCATACCCCAGTGGGTTTGACAAGCTTGCCTCTGTGAGTTGTCGTGACAGAGAATACCTTGTTGCCATAAAGGTCCATGGACTCCAGCCTGGACTCTTGGTAGTTCGTGAAGACAAGTTCTTTGCTGTCATTAATTGCTAGGTTGTCTTCAATGAGATTGGCTGGCAGGGTTCGAATCAATGATCCATCAAGGCTGTGGAGGGATATCATTTTGCTTTCCTCATCACCAATTGCAACTATATTTTCAGAGATAGCCAAACAGGACAGGGCGTAGCAGTACATGCATTTTGAAGGTGCTTCGGGTTGAACGTCTGAAGTTGCTTGAGACTGAACATTTTCCAATCTCATGTCTACATCTTCACCTACATAGCATCCAACTTCTGTCTTCAAGTCTGATCCCACTTCTGCCACCAATTCAGGTCTTGTTTCAGAAGCCCCTTCCATTTCTTTATTAGCACTTGCAACTCTGTTCGGACTCCGTGCCTCTGTGCATTCCCTTGATAATTCAGCTGTTCTCTCTCCTGTGTGTCTGGTATCATCTGTAGACTTATAAAGTCCCGCCTCATATTCCGAGTGCATTTTGTGCATCGATGGTGTAAAACTGTAGAGATATGCTTGCTCACTGTTGAACACCTTCACAACACGACCATCCACAAGAAAAAGCCTATTGTCTGGATGACTCACTGAGATACGACTGGGAACATTCAAGCTCTGTTCAGACTTGTCTGCCTTCCCACCAAAATGGTACTTAAAGTGACCATTTGAGTCGTGCACACTCACTTTGTTTTGATCAGCATCCACTGTGACAATGTCTCCATTAGCAAATATGTTTATTTCTTGTACCATGAGGAACGAGTTTACTTTGCCTGCTTCAGCTCCAAACTCTGCTCTGAGCTTCCATTTACTCAGCACAAATTGACCGAAAGTATGAGGCACCTCTTTGGCGTGGAAGTCAAATGTTTCAAAGACCAGTTCATCAAGTTTTGGTGGAGAGTGTTCACCTGCAACATTCTTCAAAGTACTCAAGATGCCTTGTTTCTGTGACAGTATCTTCAAAGAGTTACCAGCCTCCAGTAGTTCGTGAATTCTATGCACAGTTTTGTCTGCTCGTTGTAGCTGACCACAGTAGCCAACAAGTGACTTCTCAAGCTGGGCTGATCTTTCCTGATCAATTTCTGCCACCTTTTTCTTCAACATTATCTCCCTCTGACGCACTCTGTCCACTTCGCGGTTCGCCATGTCCGTTATCTCTGATACTGCCTGACTTGCAGTTGCTTTCAGCCTGCATAGGGCTATTTCTGTCAGCTCCAAGGCATCTTGAATTTCTCTTTTGCAGTGTTCCACTTCGTGGAGCAAAACCTGAACTTCTTGTTTGCAAGTCTCCTCAGCTAATGAGATGTCAACAAAATCGTGCTCAGGACAGCAGTGGTCCAGTACTGTGCAGGTTGTACAAATCAGCAGATCACATGTGTTACAGTAGAAGTGGACCAAATCTCCATGATTTTCGCATCGGGTTTCATCATGTTCATTAGATCTGGGTGTTTCTTGTGTTATTCTGGTCCCAGTCAGTACGTCGGATGTAGCTACAACTTTGTAACCTCGTGTGCTCTCTAACTGTTCATGAGTCTGCTTGCATTTCACACACATGAAATGATCACAGTCGGTACATTTGGAGACCACTTCCTCTTTTGAGTTGCATTGCTCACGCTTGTCCTTCGCCTTCAGAACCCGAAGGAGCTCTTCCTGTTTGTTAAACTCTTCTACCAGTGCCGTTAGGGGGAAATTGTTTCTGAGAGCACTAACACCATCCTTTGACAATCTGGTCTCCTTCCGGCAGGTTGGACAAACAAGAGCTGGCGAGTTGGGGTCCCCTGCCTGGCAGAGGTCCTCCAGGCAGTGGGTGCAGAAGCTGTGAAGGCATTCAAGAATTTTGGGTTGCTTAAAACGGTTGGAACAGATTGGGCAGTCCAAATGGCCTTGGCTTATCCGTTCCAGAACAGATTCAATAGTTACCCCTGCCATCACAGCAGACCATTCACAGATGAATCCATATTATCCAGACAGTCAGTGCAGTTGCTGCTTCTGTGGTGCATGTATGTGTATGTAGTCCGTGTACATTGTACTGGTACTTGGGCATGTCACTGACTACTGCAAATGTTGTTTGCCACACTAAACATGCATGTTGCTGGGAGCCATGTATATTGCTCTTCACAATACAAAGCCCTGCATAAGAATGGTGACCTTATTAACTTGACCCGATATTTGGCATTCCTGTGTTAGTGTGCCAGCACAATGAAACTGTTCATGCACGTCACAGAAATTTTCAGCACAGGAGTGAATATAATGAATGATCAGGGAGTTCACAGTTCACTTCTCAGTTCCAGCTGAAACTTCTCAAGCTCAAACACTTATGTTCTGGGAATTGAGGTGTCTTTCCTTTCCAACAAACATTAGATTATTTTGATTATTAATATTATTATTTACTCAGTCACAGCACATATAGCAGGCAATGTGGAAAACGTAAGAATCAACAAAAGGATGATTAGACAGGGAAAGAATAAAGGATACAGGGCGGTAGGGCAGGCAATGGGTAGGAAAGGGGTGTAGGGGGATTGGGTGGGGAAAGGGGGGGTTATGGGATGAGGGGAAGGGGATACCGTAATCGTACACAAACCAAGCACAGTCCAAGGATGGCTTGGACAAACAAAAGTGACGGACACTGTGACGTGAGTCTGTTCATCCAGCCCTAGATTGGATGAAACATAATTAACCATACATCAATGATGTTGCATGTAAGTTGGCTTCTTATGGGATGCTAATTTTGTGCTAGTTCTGGGGGGGTGGTCTTATACCATTATATTCATGTACCAGGCACAAGTGCATATATAGTATTGTCGGTGTGGTTCCAGAGTTGGGAAAAAATTACAAGCTTAATGCTAGGGTGGGATTTGAATCCCATCACTTTCTGCTTACTAAGGCACTAACGTAGATGTCAAGATTACATGTACTTGCTTGACCACCGGGTTAATTTTATACAGGTTTCTTGCCATCACATGGACATGTAAGCTTGTACATGTATGTTGTGTATGTACATGTACATGTATGTGGATCAACCAATGCATGTACACCGTATGTACGTGGATCAACCAATGCATGTACACTGTATGTATGTGGATCAACCAATGCATGTACACTGTATGTATGTGGATCAACCAGTGCATGTACGCTGTATGTATGTGGATCAACCAATGCATACATGTATATACTGTATGTGGATCAACCAGAGCGGCAGATGCAAATCCAGGGGCTTGGGATTGGGGGGGACGGTGGTACAAGGGGCGTGGCTTCAGGACTAGTGAAGGGTGCTGGGGCAGCTGGCCTGCCTCATGGAAGACAGCACGCAAGTTCTGGTGGATGGTTTCATTTGGCATGAGATCAGGAAGTGGATGAGGAAATCTTAATTTTCCTTCGCTGAATGTTTATTTCTGTAGTCTGTAGGGTGGGGGAGAGATCTGTAAAGATACGGCAGGCATAAACTAATTACAGAGTTGGTGCTTAAAGCAAGTACAAAGAGATTATTATAGAAGAAATAACAGCAACAAACCAGTCATCCATTACACAGACTTACATGTACACGTATGGAGTATAGGTTTTGTATGTGATTGTTGGTTGATTGGATGGTTCTCACGCCAATCCCTTTTACACACATACACCTGTAAGTGGGGGATGTACATGTATTCTGTCAGCTTATTAGCATTTGCCCTGGATCGAATTCCGCCATGGACAAGGAATTTTAATGCATAATTGCTTTCAGAGTTTTTGCACCTGAAAAACATAAATGTTACCAGTGCGCATTGCCATGGAGTTGCAAGTTACATGTACATGTACCATGTCTGTGCGTGCTGTGCCTCCATCAACGTATTCTTTCCTTTTATCCCCTGATTTACCACAAGTTTCTTAACTAAGGAAAGATTTTCCCTTCTTAATAAATTTATTTACTTTTTCATTTTTTTTATGTTTTCTTCTTTTTTATGAGGGGGGGTCTACATCCATCAGCATGCAGTCCTCTATCAGTACATCTCAAACACCAGTACATTGTATTCATGTCACAGCCATAACCATACATAAAATGCAAAATGACATACGTTTACATGTACTTACATTTCGTGATTTACCATATGCACAGTAATCAGACACAATTTGGGGGTTGCAATTGGGTGTGTCGTCTTTGTGGTTAGTTTTATTGATGTTACAATTTCCTCTTACATGTATATATGGGTTTTATTTCTTTAGTATACTCACTGATGTGTGTTTTCAGGGTTGTTGATTTTTGTATTTAAACAATTTTTTAAAGATCAGATTGTTAAAATTTAAATCAGATCTTTTTTATTTAAATCAGATTTTTTTTAGTTTTACAAGTTAGCTCAATTGTCATGATTGTCTGTTCAAAACAAGCAAATTAGCTGCATGTGCAATAGTTTTCTTTTATTTATTTGTTTGTTACAAAATTAAACAAATTTGGATTTAAATTAAGAAATTTAAATGATATTATTTGATTTCATTTACAAACCACCATAGTTTAGCCTTCGTGAAATGCATGCAGAATAACACCTACCAGTACCCTCAGAGAAGACACTTCCCTCAGAGACAAATACCTACACATATACCAAGGATAAACAGCATACCAGGTTTTAAACCGTACTCTGAGTTTTGACAAAAGTAGAGTTCAAAAGAATTTGTTAATGGGTACTTAAATGCATGCATCAAGTGACTAATGAGTGAGAAACATAGCATGAATAACAGGTACGTACATGTACGTGTTTACAAGTACACCTGTACATGTACACCTGTACATGTACATGTACACCTGAACATGTACATGTACACCTGTACATGTACATGTACACCCGTACACCCGTACATGTACACCTGTACATGTATACTTGTACTGTACATGTACGTGTTTACAAGTACACCTGTACATGTACATGTACACCTGTACATGTACACCTGTACATATACACCTGTACATGTACATGTTTACAAGTACACCTGTACATGTACACCTGTACATATACAGGTTTACATGTACATGTTTACAAGTACACCTGTACATGTACACCCGTACATGTACATGTTTACCTGTACAAAATACTGACATTTTACATGTACCTTGCTCTATTTGTAGAAAGCAGTCTCATTTTGTTTGTGACCCAGCTCCACAGAGCAGTGACTTAGGCTTGATTAAAAATCACTTTATTAAGGGCATGCCGTGAATTTAGTGGTTTTAGCTGTAACACTAATGACTAACGTTTCTAATCCCAATAAAATACCTGCTATAGAGATACTTATACTGCTATAGAGATGTGAAAGGTTGATGTACTCTGATACTTTACCATGTTAAACCATGGACATGATGGAGGAAGGACACAGGAGTTTGAACTGCCCGGGCTATAACATCTGGCCAATTACCACTTTCTGGCATGCCCGGTACGTCCATAGCCAGAGCACAGCCAATGCTTGCTCTGCACCACCTGTTTCACAACCATAAGCCCCCTTTCTACCCCATGATCATCGCTGCAATCTTTCGCTGGTAATCCGCATCCTTAAAATGTTGTGCACTGCAGTATAGGAAGTTGAATAATCATGCCATCGATAGTGCTTGGAATGATCTGACAACATCAAATTGAATGCTTGTGCAGTTGCTCGTACAATTGTATTAGGCTGTGTGCCCGAAGTGTTCATGTGCAGTCATTGCCCTTATCGAAAGCAAGTTGTTTATAATAAGATGTTGTGTTTTATTTGAATCATTTTTATCACGGCATTTATACGGAAAGGTATTTCATGAGATCTCTTGAGCACTCCTTGTGATGAAATAGTGCATTTTGTTTGTCATGAACTTAATTGTCCAATGGTGGTCAACGTGTTGTTGGTCAGTCTTAGCCTAATTCGTACAAAGACTTTGAAAACTGATGTTTTGGAGAGACAAAATAAAATTACAAACATTGCATGGATAATGGAACAGCATATCAAAGTAAAAAGGTTGTTCATGATGGCAAAAGTAGATATGCGTGTAATGTTAGAGATCTTGTGCTCTTGATTTCCTGATCACAGTGATAAGTTGTAGCTAATTGCAAACAAAACACACAAAATATTGCTAGGATATTACTGGCCCCACTTGTCCGGCTAAGCTGCAGGCAGTTATCAGGCATTTTTAGAATGTTTACTATTGTTCGTCTGACTGGGCGGCAATGCTCATCGAGTAATTTAAAGTGCCAGAGTTTTAACTCCTTCTGTCATGTCTGTGTCCTTCCTCTATAGTTACTCTCTGAATTGAGCAATTCAACTGAAGTGAAATTAAATCATGATTATAAATCCTTTGCATCAAATACACTTACTGAATCAAAAAAGCTGATTTAAATCAAAACAAGTGGACGGAATGGAACATAAAAATATTGCCACCCCAGATTGTGTATAACACATACATTCATACATTTACGTCTTTAACCCTAACCCTCCTCAATCCTTCACCTGTTGGAGGGCTGAGGAGTGTTAGGGTTAATACTAGGAACTGGGAGGCTGACAGATGGGGGATTTGCTGTTTAAAATGTGCAAAACCAGCAAACATTTGCAATCAGTACAAAAGTATTCAAAAAGTGAAACATTTTTGCCTTTTTACCCCAAAAATTAAATATGTTGATTTAAATCAGTGATTTTTTTCAAAAAAATCATTTAATTTAAATCGCGATTTAAATCGGTGATTTAAATCAGACAACCCTGCGGGTTTTAATATATTTCTCAGTTTATCAGTTCAGACCTTTGCCAATGAAGAACTTGATTAGTCACTGTTACAATAGGAACTTTTTTTCCAAAATGGTGTACACATACATGTACATGTATGTAATAACTAAAACTTAGCACGTGCTTGTAGAAACAAGTTGACAAAGTGGGTACCAATGCATAATCATTAATAACGTGTTTTATTAACCCCCAAAGCCACTTAACTACCGGTTTATGTACTTTCCTTCTCAATTGCTTACATGTAGCAGAGAAATGGAAGGTGGTGTTCTAATTTTAGACGTTTGTCGTTGAGGTGCTTGTGTAAATGTTCTAGTCCAAAGAATAAAGAAATTTGCTATTTAGTCTATAGACTAAATGTATGCCCCCTTCTCTTCAGAATTGCCCCAAAATGGTATCATTACAGTCATATCACTCTCATTCTTTATGGTAAATCTTCACGGAAAGCATATCAGCTACTGCAAGTTCACCAGCCAGGGTGCGTGCCAGCCCCAGGGGGTTCCATAGACCGGTGGCGATGCATCCCATGTAAACCCCACTAGCACTGTAGTGGTGAATTTGTCCAGTACCGTGCTCATCACTGGCATGTAGGATGATGAAAATATCACCGTGGTGATCGCAGCACATCCCTGCAGGCTTCATCTGCTTCCCTTCCACGACGGTGTCAAGACTGAACACCTCCCGTCCGTCAAAGTCCAAGGAGACCAACTTGGCCTGTTGGTAGTTGCTGTAGATGAGTTGCCCCTTGTTGCTGATGGCCAGCCGTCTGTCAAGTAGCTCTGCCTCCACCTCGCTGGTCAAGGAGCCATCTATTTCATGGAGGGAGATGATCTGTCTTCCTTTATCGCCGACTGCAATGTGGTTCTTTTCATCAACTGCAATGCAGGAGAGATCACTCCATGCTTTGTTTGCCAGGAAGTTGAAAGGGGAGGGTGTGAAGCTGAACAAGTACTTGATGTTGTTTGTGTTGGTTGCGTCAAAGACTTTAACGTTAGGCTTGTCGATCACGACAAGCTTGTTGTCTGGGGTCACTGCAAGATCATAAGGGTTGTGGAGCTGCCCATCACACTTATCTCGAGACCCATCAAATTCAGATTTGTGTTGACCCTGGGGAGTGAAAAAATGCAGTTTGTAGTCTTCAAAATCTGCAACAACTATGTTGCTGTTAGTGAAGGTTGCGACGCTGGCAGCCATCTTGAACCCTCCTTTCGTCTTGCCAGTATCAACCTTACCGTCAAAGTGTGCCTTCAGTGACCATTTCTCTTTGAGAAGAATTCTGCCCAGTGAAACCTTCTTAATTTGCGTAGGCTTGAATTCAATGAAAGGTGACAAACTATCCTTTGGGCATGGAATCTTAAGCTCGGTTATGTCGTTCAAGTTGCAGAGAAGGTTTTCTTTCAACTCCAGCAGCTCAAAGCAGCTGGACTGATCCAGAACGGTCTTGGCCATTTCCAACGTGCCCTGGGTCCACTTGAGGTTCTCGCAGTAGGACTCCTGGGCATTTTTCAACAGCTTTGCCTTCTCTTTTCCTATGGCAGCCACCTCTTCTTTCAAGCTGGCCTCCTTCAGCCTTATCCTGGCAACCTCCTCATCTGCTCTCTGCGTAATGTCAGCTGATGTGTCGGCAAGCATCAATTCCAACCTCTCGGAAGCAGTGTCCACAAAATCCTTGGCCACAAGGAATTTCTGTCTGCTGTCTTTTGCCTTGGATTGCAACAGTTTGGCTTCCTCCCGTAATGAAGCCTCGGCAGCATCGATGTCTTCGTACGCGTGCAAGGGTTTGCTGTGGTCGAGAGCTGTGCAGACCGCACAGATGAGGACCTTGCACGTGCTGCAGAAGAAGCACACATCTTGGCTTGTGTGTTTCTTGCACTTGGGTATCTCGTCCCTCATCTTGCTCTTGAAGATAGCCTTCCCCGACCGGAGGTCCTCCAGTGTTGCAATGTCATGTTTCTTCGTCTTCACCGCCCGCTGGTGTGCCCGTTGGCACTCCCCGCAGAGGTACTCCTTGCAGTCGGTACATCGGGATACAGCCTCATCCTCCTCACAGACTTCGCACACGATCCTTGACTTCTGCCTCCTCACGAGGCTCTCCTGGTGCGTGAATTCCTCCACCAGTGCAGCCATGGAGAAATTGTCGGACAAACCGGATACTCCATTGCTGGGCACGGCAGTTTCCTTTCGACAGAGAGGACATGGAATTGTTGGGCTCTGAGAGTGCTGGCTACGTTTGTAGTTTTCGAGACATTCACAGCAGAAGGTGTGGAGACAGTTGAGGAATTTCGGACGATTGAAGCGTTGGAAGCAAATTGTGCACTCCAGGTGATCCTGGCTGATCTTGTGAAGGACGTCCTCTGTTGTCACCTCGGCCATTTTGTTTTTCTGTCCTAATGCATAAAGCAAACCAAGGAGTTCCTTCACAAATAAGTTTTGGTTTCAAAATGCTCTTCATGCTTTATACTGCATTGCAAACGTTAAAATTGCATAGTATTTCACCGTTCAATACAAGGAAAGCGAATACACACAACAGTCCTTTCTTTTATGAAATAACTTCAGTGGGCAACAAAATCTGTGCATTACATACACACATGTATGAACAAGCAAGCACTACACTGTCGCCGTTTTCACGAAGAAACGCTTTGGCCCAAAATTCTGACTTTCAAATTTCTGTTTCTGGGCAAAATCATCTAGGTTATGCAATGCCTAATCGTTTTTTACCAAATCTCCTGAAATCAGCCAAATTACGATGATCTGCTCGGGGCAAATGTGAACCACATGTATTCCACATTTTGCATTTTCATGAAGAGGTGCATGTGTCTTCCATACATGCAGATACAGTGTTAGCTATGAAGGGCAAGGCCGTGGGCATATTCATTTAGCCCAGAGGCCGTGCCACACCACTTCAGCATGTTTCATTTAAGCTTCTACTACCAACCATCAGGGACTTGGTTTTAAGATGGAATTATTCATTCACTGTCATTGTTCTAAGAATCCAGGTAAGACATGTGACTAGGACTTTCCTTTCTGAAGTTTTGTGACTTTAACTACGTCCTGTTTCTAACCGTATATAAGTCCTGCATCATTGCACAGCTCCTCAGTATCCCGTATTCAGTATCCCGTATTCAGTACCCCGTATTCAGTATCCAGTATCCAATAGGCAGTATTAGTCTGCTTTTCAATTCTCCAATTCAGTCAACAGTTAGCTTACACTTCTATCGTAACCTTCTTGGTCGTTCTTGCGAATCAAGTTGGTAACAACACTAAATCAATACTGACTCTCATGACGACCCTATGCATTATCGTCAAAGTTTACAGCATGCTCTAGCCATGCATCACTGTAGCCAGCTTTGAAAATCGTCTTTTTTTTTAACTGTGCCAAAGACTTCCTTAATAAAAGATCATTATACTTGCTCGAGAAGACCGATTTATAAATCCCTGACTGGGTTAGAGCGTGCATACAGTACATGTACGTATTTGCACATGCACGATGTTTGTTAATGCAGATGTCACATCGTGTTCATGCGTGCACCGCATCTAGTCATTGCCTTACAAAGCTATCACCCTTTGCACTATCATTCGATCCTGTGTGAAATCTCCAACTTTATTCTCGTTTTCCACAACCATGATTTAAAATTTAAGGAAGAAAATGTAATCACCTGAAAGTGAAATTATCAACAGCAAGACTGAGTGCTTGCACGAAGATCAAATTAGTTCCATGTGCCCATACAACATTACAATTCAGCCTTTAAGACTAATGAACAATTGACTTTGAATAGAACAAGTCAGGGAATCAGGCAAGAAAATTTGCTACTTGTTACTGCAAAAAATGTCATGTGCATGTACACTGAACAAGACAGTAAAACTTACCCTTTAAAAAGCTTTAATCCTTCTGCCGAAATTAAAGTACCAATTTTGGGGGAAAAGACAACCAGCAGCATCGGCAATGTGCGGCCTTGGGGAAGCCCGTGCCCATGCAATGAATTATCTGTACATACAGCATTTCTCATCCGGGAATTTCCCCATTCATAGACTTGTCATAGTCCAGACAGCAGAGATTTGTTTGTGGAGGGGGCGTATGAAATTGTCTTGTTTCCCCATTTTACATACACGCGTATCTTTGGAGTGGAAAAGCCAGTGTTGCTTTAAAGTGTTGTAGATAGCACTGAGAAGTACATGTACTATATAAAAAATACAGGTCCCACTGTATTTGTGGCTTGTACATGTAAGTTGTACCAGTTGTTAAAAATCTCAATTTGGGAGAGGGGGTTTGGAGAAGAACACAAACTTCCCCGGGGGGGGGGGGATGTGTCCACCATGCCCCCTGCCCTGTAGTGACATGTGCACCACTGTATCCAGTTAATTTGGAAGTAACTCCAGCATTTCACATCCATCCAGATCAGTTAGAAGGTTGTGAGGATTTTACACAGTCCAGGAAGGTGAAGCTCAGCCACAAAGGGTTTTTTGCCAGCTATTTGCAGAAAAAAATACCTATGTGGTTAGCAGATCTCATGGGGTATGGGGGACCTTACCTCTTCCCATCCCCCATTGTTACACTTATGAACACTGAGTTCTAGTCAAATGGCATCAAAAATAACGCATGATTATAAAAGTCTTACATAAATGTAAACTTGAAAATTATTCTTGACTTGCCTTTCAATGCTGGGACAAAAATAACAGTTTCCCAGAGGGGGCATGCCACCGACTCCCCTAGCAGGGCTTACCCTCTCTCTGCCTGGAATATAACCCTTTTCTGGATCCCCAAGTGTAGCAAGGCCTGCCCCTGCAGAGCAGGGCTCACAATAGTGCTTTTTTACAGTGAAACTACATGTGCATGTACTTTGAGTTACATCTCCTTGTGTTATATTTTCTATCCAGGAACAGCATCCTTATCCCACACCAAGCTGCTGCCGGGTTTGAATTCCAAAAACCTTCCGCTTGATATCAACTTGTGTATTCTCCCACATCTGGGTGCCACAACCCCGGATAACTTGTCCACTGATGGTAAGCAAGATGTAGCTATCGTCCTCTTGAGGTATAAAATGTGACCATTGAATGTGACCATAAATCTGAGCTACCTTTCACGGAAGAAGGAAGTTTGTGTTTTTAATTCGTACAATTGCTGGTTCTTCCTCTGCTGCATCATATCGAATTCTCTGGAGTGAAAAGTTAGCTCTCTGTTTCTTTACAATTCGAAGCTGACCATTGGCTGAACGTAGCATTTCTAAGATACAGGGTTAATTCCATTATTTTTTTAATGAGGTGACCGCTTCTAGGTTAATTGATGCTAGGTTAATGACCCTGGTTAGCTTAGTTGTCAAATGGTAGAAGCTGTCTCTATTATTAAGCAGGACCTAGTGGGTGTGAGTGCCTCTCCAGCAAGCTTGTGAATTTTTCTTCTTTCAGTACAAGTGCTCAGATAATGTTGAAACCCTGCTTAATGTTCTAAACCTGATTGCCAGAGTTATGTCCGTTAAAAGGCAAAAATGCATCATAAACCCTTGGAAACTGCACCAATCTCACTGTTGTACATGCACAATGCCAAAAATGGTTTTCTTAAAGTATAAGAAAGCCATTCTTGAAAATAGAAAATTAATCTTGTTTAAAGGAAATGTTTAAGAAAATATGTTTTGGGGAAGACAACATTTCTTGAAATATTGAGTAGTTAAGACTACAAGAAATTTTTTCTTTTAAGAAATTATCTTCATAAATATAAGAAAGCAATTTAAGAAAACATTTAAGAAAATGAAGTTTTGGTAAGAAAGTATTTCTCGAAATATTGAGCATTTAATACTACAACTATATGATTTCTCTTTAAAGAAAGTTACTTTTGCATGTGCTGACCTTAACCAAGTTACCTTTTTGAAGTTAGCCTTTAAGTTGACCTTCTTTAGCCTAAGTGAACTATCTTTAAGTTAACCTTGTTTGTGACTCCATAGCTAGTCTGCATTTGAGTCTTTGTTTTCTACAGTGGCTTAAGGTGACTCACATTTGTCATGGAATATCAAGAAACTTATATGTACATGTACCGCTGCATTGATGTTTACCTCAAGCAAATGTTGAATAATATTCTATGATTTTGTTTTCTGTGTCAGATCAGTCCATCTTGCTGAGTCTGTTACCGGTCTCGTATCAAGGCCATCCAAGCATTGACCTCCTAGTCAAGTCTTTCCGGAACCAGATTTATGGAGCTGCCCGAAACTCCCTCACTCACACATCACTGACTGAAAAGAACTGGTGAGATTGTTAGAAACCCCATCTCGGAGACGCACTTGTTGACTTTTTACTGTTGCTGAAAACTCCATCTTAGAGAAAACTTGTCTTCTTTTTACTGTTGTTGAAAACCCCATCTCAGAGCAAACTTGTTGCCTTTCCACTCTTGTTGAAAGCCACATCTCAGAGAAAACATGTTCTGCGGCTTTAATTGACCTGTAAACAAATCGTAACCTTCGTGAGGGGACAAATTTCTGTATATCTTTATTGTTGCTTTACGTTCTGTTTACTTTTGTCATTCCTTGCTGATGTTGAAAGTCTTACCTCGGTGTAAACTTCTTCTTCAGCTTATACTTGAAACTGTTTTGAGTTGACAAAAGCTCTGTTATTCACATGTTAGCACTTTACCACAAATTCTGTTGAGCTTCTCGTGTATCTAGCAACAGTTTTGGGCAATTAGAAAAGTTTTATGATGGAGCTAAAGTGTGTACAGAAGCTTTCATGGCAACAACCTTTTCATCATTTATTTTATCTTTAATTGTTTGACAAAGTTTATTATGTGTATTTATTATATTGCAATTAGAGATTGACACCGGGTTGATAACCATCGATTAGTGTGTGTATTACTGGAGTTTTCTGACAGCTTTTTGGAGGTAAAAATTGGTGTCTGAAAAGCTGCATTATGTCTGAATGAAGTAGGAACTATGTAATTCCAGATAGATCAAGAAATCGTCCACGCAGACAGCCAGTTTGCTCAATCAATCAAAAAGTCGTCTTCTGACCAAGAGACACTGGCAGATTTCCTTTCCCTGACGACACTGTACATCAGCGTGTGCTTTCCTTGGTTTTCAATTGAAAGAATATTGCTGTTTCACTTTCTTGCAGGTTTCACTATGCAGCTAGAATGTGGGAAACGATCAGGAAGTCGACCCTCATGTCAGAATTCAACAGACTTCTAACTTGATCGTTCCGCTTCCCGGATAAAGAGAAGCTGATCATACTTCTCCAAGGAAAAGTGCCGCTGTCAGGGAAGGACAGTGGAAGGTTTTCTTCTCACCACAAGCTGTTTGTTTGCCAGTATTGAGAAGACAGTGGTGAATTCCTTTTTCAGTGAAGGAAAAGGCATTTTTGCATTTCCCTTGTGGGAAAAATGTGTCTGGCGACTTTATTCCTATAAAATAAATAGGAAACAGTTGCTTTGTTATCAACCGTAACCAGGAAGTGCTAAGTTTGCCCCAAGCACGGAATTTTTCAGCCAAAAATACTGACTTTTTCAACAAGACATCACGACAATACAAAGTTGGGCTTTACAAACGTTGATCCTTGGGGGTCATTTGTCAAAAGTTTGTGTGACTTTCTTGTTGCATAGTTTTTTTTAAACTCAGACAGTGCCGCATAAGAATGTTGCCACATATAGCAGTGGCATACAGATGCTTGAGCTATAGGATTCCACATGCTGGACATTTATGGACTGGTTCCGGCCTCTGTAAGTTTCCAAACACAATGGTTATCACATAATGTATGCTTTGGGAGGATTGTACATACAGGTATGTATAATGTCATTTGGTACAGTACATAAAGCTGTCCAGAAAATCCCTGTTCGTTTAAACATCATCAAGTGAAAAATGGTTAAATATGAGAATAAATGCTGCTCCCTCATAGTCAGGACAGTTTGTATGGACTGCATGCTTACCTACCATTTGAGTGCTATATAGCTTCTGATACTGCTTGGTTTAATTATCTTCTGAATCCAAAAACACCTGTCCCTAGTGCTTGTCAGAGACACACGCCTATGCTGTCAAGAGGGGAAGTCGAATCATACGTCACTTTTTCCTGTGTGTTTTTTTCCCAAGCCTATCTGCTTAAAAACAAAACAAAGCACACCCCCCCCTTAAAAAATTGCTACTCTGTTCTGACCTAACAATTGAAGTCTACAGCCTGCCTTCTGTACCTTGCTATTTCAGCCCAGTAGACTTCAGCATCAGAAGCCGTTTCTGTGGTAGCATCACGCTCGGGTACACACGCGTTAAATGCTTCGTTAACCAATAAGGGTATAGTGATTTACCAAATGCACTTGCACCTCGAGTTTAAGACGGCGCGCATCAGCCTGGTGCCACTGCACATCTCCTCAGATTTGTTTGATGCATAGTTGGTCTTATGAATACAAGGCCAGTAAAAAAAATCAAAGAATGGCAGGGATCCGGTGTGAGTCAAATTCCTAAATAAACCGCCTTGGTGTCATATAAGCCTCCAGTTGTCACAGATTTACAATAGCCCTTCTCAAGTACCAGGCACAGATCCAGGGGTGTGGTTCCCCCTCCCCCAGTCTGCGACAAAACAAGGTAAAAAGGGGCAAAGTAATCAAACATAACGAGAGTGCACCAGTACCATTGTAAACAATGTGGGTCATGTATAATGTTTTATCATCATTTCCGTTTGTCCGCCAAAAATGAGACATTTTAAATCTCCGGCCTGATCCCCCACCCCTGGTAAAATTCCTGAATCCACCCCTGAATGCATAAGTGATTGTGCACAGTCATTCCAAAGCATTATGGGATTGGAAAGGTTTGATATGTGATCCGTTTCCATTCCTACAACTCTTTGTGGACATTGTACAAAATCACCAAAGCAGTAAATATTTCACTTGCGATAAAGCCTGTTGGCTTGATTGTACAAGGAATCCAGCTAGAAGCCGAGAAGAAAGGGCTGATGGAGCACAGCTCCCGTTAATGGTAAGCTCCCACCCACCATACCAGTCAAGATCACACCCCAGTATCTGGCCATGGACACTCCTGATCGACGTCTAATCAGTGACTGTTCAAAGGCGGTGGATTGTTTTTGATAGCAAAGGTGACAGGCTGTTCACCATCAGACCAGCAATCAGTGGTCAGCCAGAGCGATCCTGCCACCGTGTGTATTGTGATTGGTCAGGCAGTTGGGTTGCAGTGTCTAGGCCCAATGGTGATCCACCACAAGGTGGCTTCCTTGAGTGCATCATGCTGGGCCTGCCCCAGGGAATTGCATTGACAGGATATGGGCACCTCGCTGTGGTTGATGACTACTGCTCCGTGGAGATGTATCACATCGTTTGAAGTTCCCTCACACCATCCTTTTTCAGGACGGTTAATGTTGTGTCCGTTATAAGTGTTGTGGGGAGGGCATTATAATTTATTTGGCACATTTTTTACTGAAGTTCTTACATGCTGCAATTAAGAATGTCTATGGGTTGATGAGAAAAGTTAAGAAGACCATTTTGATAAATGCCTTGATAAGCACAGGTGGTTGTGAAAGTAATATTGCACCAATTGTACTAATTAATACCAAGGATACAAGGCAGGCTGGAGAAACTATCTTGCCTAAAAAATCTATGTTGAAGTGGGAGTCTTAAAGATGAAGTGTCAGGATTCCACCCTCTTTGGGTCTTACGTGTACTCCTCTCAACAAATTCACGACACAAAACCTGAGATGACAGATATCCAATGGATACTTGTAAAGAATATGACATTAGTAGTACACACTTTATTTACATGAAATGCTCCATTTAACTGACAGAGAATTTTCTGAATTCAGGTTTTGCACTACAATGTATCCACTTATTCCTGTATTTCACTCAGTTTTCTCCTGTCCCATTCAATTTGAAAGAACGTAGTAGGAGCAGGAGGTCATGGGTTCGAGTCCCACCCAAGTATGCTTGTGGGTTTTTTCCCACAAGCCCTCTGGGTTCAAGTCCCACCCAGGTCCGCTTGTAGGTTGTTTCCCACAAGCCCTCTGGGTTCGAGTTCCACCCAAGTACGCTTGTGGATTTTTTCCCACAAGCCCTCGGGGGCAAACACTGAGCAAACAGTGTGAAATACACGTCGGGCAGGGCAAAATCCAAAATTGAAGAACGTAGTAAGATGAACCGATCTTTACATCTAGAACATTCCATTCATAGTTTTCAAAGCCAACGTAACTAAGATAGATATGAACACTGTACACCACTGAACTCGGCATCTTTTAGAACGTGCTACAAAAGGAATTACAAAAATAATACATATTAAATATGAAGTTCGTTACATGTGCACAGTGTAGAGACGTAGGTAACCAGGCCATATTTGTGAAAAGCTCATTTTTGTGGAGAAAATAATGCCATTTGTTTGGTCTTGTTCTGTAGTTCTTGTATTCTTGATCAAATCTAAAAGTCTAATGCAGGGGAAAGGAACCTCTGGTTATAAAGCAGTTGACTGATCAGAATGTTAAGACTGATATGTAGTTATTGATTTTAAATTAAACAATAAAAGATATCTGAAATCAAGAAACCAGGTTTCCAAAAAAGGTTGCAATCAAGTGTTAACCAAAATCAATCAAATGCTAATCATACACAAGTCAGGCAGTCTTCTGTCAAGTCACGCACAGTACTTCTCAAACAAACTCTGACAAGTACACTTCTGTTCATCCTTTGGCATTGTTATGTATGATTGATTTGTTGATTGACCGGGCTACAACTCTTGCTTTAGCCAAATTCTGAAGCAGAATAGGGAACATAACAATGGCATTATGGCGATCAGGTCACCGTGGCAAAAAGGTGGTCAATCAGTTGTAGATAAAAAAACACACTTGAAGTCTCAAAACAGATTCGAATGTATGACTGTATGGAATGGAATGTGTGCAATGTAAAATTTGAAACAGTCCTCGGGCATTTCAAATGGGGCAAGATGACTAATTTATGCCACATTTTCTGGTTGTGCATAAAAATTGGAAGATTTCAGGAGAGGCACTGTTTGAACTTTGCCGGCTACTAACGAGCTTCATCCCTGTTCAGATTCATTCACTTTCTGATGCTCTAATAGGAGCAAAGCCTTTACACCAGAAATGCAACAGAACTGGTCTGAAAAAAAATCCTATTCTATTTCTATGATAATGTACATGTATTTTTTTTCTTGCGATATAATTCAAGTTACGAGTATGCTATAGAGGGTTTTTCTGGATTTAATTTGTTTCTGGCTGCGGCGATTTTGAAACGGGTTCTGGAGACCGGGAGGCTTGCTGTTGGGAGGGGGATGCATTGTCCACGTTTTCCGGCGGGGATGGTCTGTGGGGCCTCTCCTGTGGCGATTTAGAGGGCGGGGTTTTGGGCGGAGTGGGAGAGGCTTTTGTGGGGCTCGCCTTCCGGGGACTGGGTGCCTAGAGATAAAAAGCAAAGAAAGAAATTATTTGGATGATTAGGAAGCGTTTAGGCATGCAATGGTATTGCTTTCCCTCCACCCACTGCGTCACATCAGCGATATAGCATTTGGGGAGATGTGGTGTCACATCTAACCCACCCCTAACTTCCCCCTCTCTAAAAAATAAAGTTGTCAGCAAACACAGCATTTCGTTTAACAGCCCAGTCCTTGTGACTATGGTAGTTTTGTTATGAGACTTCCAAAAAGTCGTGTGATGGACTGGATGCCAACACAAAAGGCTTCCAGGTTATTAAGTTTTACTTCTTTACCAGTGTTGTAATCAAGACTCCTTAAGACCATCACAAGACCACTTAAGACCATCACAAGACCCCTTAAGACAATCACAAAACCCCTTAAGACTATCACAAGACCACTTAAGACCATCACAAGACCCCTTAAGACTATCACAAGACCACTTAAGACCATCACAAGACCCCTTAAGACCATCACAAGACCCCTTCAGGCCATCACAAGACCACTTAAGATCATCACAAGACCCCTTAAGACTATCACAAGACCCCTTCACGCCATCACAAGACCACTTAAGATCATCACAAGACCCCCTAAGACTATCACAAGACCCCTTAAGACCATCACAAGACCCCTTAAGACTATCACAAGACCCCTTAAGACTATCACAAGACCCCTTAAGACCATCACAAGACCCCATAAGACCAACACCAAACCTTCAGTTGGAATTCAAGTCACAACAAAAGCATTCCCTTTCACTCTGGTACTTGACTGGTGTTGTGTCTGGTCTGATGTCGGGTCTCATGCCTGGGCTTGTGTTTTATCTTGTGTACAGGACTGTGCCTGACTTGTGTCTGTCCTCGTGTCTGGTCTCACGTCTGACCTCGGGAATGGTCTTGTGTTAGCTCTGAGGTCTTGTGATGCACTAGTCTTGATTCTGGTCTTATTTGGGGTCAACAAGACTGTTGTTTTCCCACCTTTTGGGTTTCCTTGACTGGCGAGCCAGCTGCCTGCCTCATAAACTCCTCATGCTCCAGCCTTCCCTTGACAATGGTCTTGGCAGCCGGGTCGGAGCGGGCCATGAAGGTAGTCACATTGCCGGGAATCTTGAGTGGCATGTCCCACGTCCCAACGAACTTGCCCCAGGGGTTTTCTTGGGACCTGGGCACCCCACCCAGCAGGTGACCACGGTCATTGGCAATGATCTGCGTGAAGCCCTCATAGCATGACGGTCTCTGGATGGATAGAGGCAAAGATCAAACAACATCGCAAAGATTTACAAGTATCCATGAATAGTAGTGCTATTTTAGCACAACCTTTGTCAAGCACAATAATCAATAGATTCACTTGGAGTGTAACTTACCTTTAAACTGTCTCATTTCATGATTACATCAAGGCTACTAATTGCTGAAGTTGGTATACATACATGCTAACTGTACGCATACATAATAAACCAGTAATAAAAATGGATGTTTTTGACTTGCCAATATTAGAAATTGTTCATATGATTCTTTTGGCAATGTGAAGCTTTCATTTTTATCAGGTAATTTGCAGAGTTGCCGACTTGAGTAATGTGACTTGGACTCGAGTCGCTATTTTTGTGACTTGTGACTTGACTTGTAAATACCAGCTCTGACTTGTGACTTAATTGACTTGGACTTGCAAAAAATGACTTGTTACCAACCCAAGTCAGATGCTACTCAACCTGCCCCACATATTTTTAAAACTCGTAACTTTGTAAGTTGTCGCCTGATTCTTTTTGCATTTAAATTACTGCTGGACAAAATAATGTGCAGCTTGACTTGTACTTGGACAAAGAAACTTGTGACTTGACTTGTGTTTAGACCAAATGACTTGTGACTTGACTTGTGACTACACCTAATGACTTGTGACTTGACTTGTGACTACACCTAGTGACTTGGCTTGGACTTGCAAAAAATGACTTGCTGCTACCTCTGGTAATTTGGCAACACCACGGATGTTCATATACCGGTATCTGAGGCAGGACTCTTTCCACGCTATAAACACCTGTATATGAGACTATGGAATATACTAAATAGTTAACACACGTGTATGAAATGCGAGTCATGTATTACAATTTCACTCTTACCTCTTTATATGTGTGTGGGAGTTGCCAGTTTTGCAGTCTCTTGCTATCAAATGCTTGCTCGTACTGTAGCAAAACATAAATGTAGAATTGCGCATCATCACACACAAAAGGAAGCACATCACAGGGGAAATCTGAATTTTCATCAAGTTCGAATTCAATATTCGTTTCAAATTTACAGTTTGCCCTTCTTGCATGACTGTACATTTGCAGGTTATTTTCAGACATTGGATTGTGCTCTTAAGATTAATGTAGGTTGTGGGAAATCCCCGATTAAAATACACCCGATTTAAAGGTTACTTGACCAGTTTTAATAATAGTAATCATTGTTTCTACAAACGTTGAAATGTCGAATTTGTTTAGGCAAATGCTGCCAAAAGCTTTGATCTGCACAGGCTTTGTCGTACACTCTGCCTAGAACACCCGGCATGTTCGTTATCTGTTATGCGAAACTCGCAAGTCTCAGGCCTAGCGGAGCTGGCCGGCGATTATGAAAACTCAGTCTGAACATGATGAAATTGAAACGCATACTAGTAATCTTCCCAGTCACATAACGCTGAACTAGACGCTGTTTAGTCCATATGTTGATCCTCAAAGATGACCATAAAGCTTTTAAGGTTTCCTACCTGATTTGCACTGAAATGTGCAGCCATTTTGTCTCTGAAAATTAACGCGGCGATCTTGGTCCCAGGTGTTCACTAAGCGTACCCCAACAAATGACCCACTAATTTCAGAATAACACTTCCGTAAACAAACGTGCCGGAAGAATGCTGTCATGGTCACCGAATAGATAAACCAATGGAGAGGAAGAACCGATTGTGGAAACCCAATCTCTATTTAAGAGCCATTTCGATTGGTTGAATCAATAAATGAAGTATGATTATTCAGTAAGTACGCTAGACCAATCAACAAGTCCGTCTTATAGTAGCATGTGATATACGGGGTTTGATTGGTGCAGTCGATTCCCCAAAATTAATATTCATTACAGTCTTTTATCGCCCATTTGCTACTTTGACCATTTGCAATTTCGCCCACATGCTATTGCGCCTAATTGTCACTTCGCCCACGTACTACTTCGTCCACGCGCCACTTCGACAACGCAATATTTTGCGTGGTAAAGCAGGCCTGGGATTGACCGACAAATCTCTGCATCTTTTTGCCAGGTTTATTGCATGTAATATTTTGGAGACAATACTGAAAATATTGAGAGTCAGACAAACAACAGGGTTCTGTACAACGCACAAAGTTTTTCAACATCCTAGTGTGCACTGAGACCTTGTGAAAAAGGCCGGGAAAATAACCCAGAAACGAATTCTGTAAACAACTTAGCTATTGCTAAAATATTTCTGAAGTTCCTGATCATTTCATGCTATTTTTGAATGTCAAAATTCGGAATGCACTTTATATTATCGCGGTAGTCGTTCCGTTTCAGACAGGCGTTCTATAGTCCAGGGGGAATGAACGTGGATTTTTCTGCATTCATTCAGACTCTGCTTGCAGTGCCCTGACTGGTACTCAGTTACCGAAAGCTCGGCAATCCGCATATATTTCAGAGCACTGATTTGATATCATACTCTAGGTGTCGCGCTGAACCAAAACCAGATTTTGAATTAAGTATGGCAAAAGTTCCACCCCGAGTGAACTTGAACAGTTAACAACGCTGGCGACTCGGAAAGATCGACACTAGTGAAGGCCTTTGGAGCGACGCAAAAGCTACAGACCGTCGCTCCGCTTTCATGAGCCGAACCCAATGCAAATGTATGTACATGTATTAAGTTCGTGTGTCTGCCACCAAAATTTAATTGGGTCGACCTGAGCCGCTCTTATATTTTGTTCGGCGCGACCCTCCCTTGAACTTGAACGCCAGTGTCTGAAACGGGTCTCCCAGACATTCTTGTTTTTCTGCGCCGCGTCCGCATAATGAGGTGGGGCTTAATTAATGGATCAGCCTATGATATAGCAGATGATGCCTGATGGTCTCACAACTGCCCACTCCCACACACACACACACACACTTAGAAACTCGTTCCACTGGCGTTGCTGAAGATCCACTATATCTGAGTATCTTTATTTTATTTTTCTCTGGCAAGAGTCCACTGGATTGAGCAAGGTGGCGCTTGGGCGAAGTGGCAAATGGGCAAATTGTTAAATAGGCGAAGTGACAAATGGGTGAAGTGGTAAATGGTGAAGTGAACGACAATGTTTTAGAGGGCGCACTACTTTAGCACTTCAACAAAAAAAGTCAACATGGCGGCAGTTTTACCCCGAGAATGCCATGTGCATCCGGTAGTTTTATTCAGTATTGTAGATTCGTTCGAAAGAAGGACTGACGAGAATGCTAGAGTAATCGGGACTCTGCTAGGTATGGCTTAACGTAACTCCAGTTAATAATTCAATTCGTGGTAACAATGGAGTATATTGTGGTCTCATATGGCATCTCGCAAAGGGGAGACTCATCTGATGATCTCATATCTCCCCCTTCATGCATGCAGCCCCGTACCTTCATTGGGCCGTGCAGACGTGTTTTTAACTCCTGCTCTGTTTTTAAAAGATGTTTTATTCTTTTTAGCCGTAGAATGTCGTTTTGGTTTTATTTTCATAATTTGAAGTTGTTTAACCTCACTGTTATCAAACCTAGCATAGCCTAGGCTATGCCTGGACTTTAAATAATCAAGGAACATGACGAATTGCCATTATCCCTGATAATGATTAACTGCAGACTGGAGAGTGTTTTGATTTGCATTTTTCATGTTTTTGTCACAATCAGATGAGGACGATAGGGGGGATCATAAATTTTTGAAGTATTTATTTCTGTTTACTTTTTGATGTGATCTTGGAGAGGATGTCAAAAGAAACATTTTATACAAGTTTAGATTCCATCGGTGCCTTCAAAGCAAAGAAATATTAAAGTTGGGATATTTTGAGATGTTTCGCGACAGTTTTTGTACATTTTTAATGTAGAGCAAACTGATTTTTTTTTTCACACAAAAATGAGTGTAGATTTTGACTGAAAAGCTTTAAATCCATATATTCATAAAATCTTTGTTCTTATTCGTGCCTTATTTCAATGAATTAAATGTTGGCTTTATGTGAAATTTAAAAAAAAACTGAAATTGGAAATTAAATAGAGGAGCTAGAGCATGCGGAAAAAGACAAATTTTACTTACAATTTCCTAGTTAAGAAAATGAATTCCCAAATCAACAGCACCCTCACTTTTATGCATGTCCCTAACGATGACACTCGACAGGGTGGTAGTCAGCACCATCTTAAGTTGTCAATTCCAGCAGCATCATTACTATCATTCAATAGATTACTTTTGTTGCTGCGATTTTCTTTATGTTTGTGTCCTGTTCTTCCGCTGATGTCCTTTTACCAGTTTTGGGAAGAGTTCCATATGCGGACACCAGTAATTATTCCCTATACAGTGATCTATTAGCCATCAGGAAGCAAAACATGTCAAGTTCAATGTAGGAAGGAAATAAACGAAGTTGTTTACTTAGAAAACACATAGAATTTTTTTGGCCAGCCTCATTCATGCACAGTACAGTAGCTAGGGTGTGCAGCGTGCTATTTAGCGTCAACACATACAAGTGACGTCAACAAAGCGTCAACAACTTGAAAATACCCCCTACAGATTCAAAAGGGGTTTTATTATGTTTTAGAGACTACTCTAACACTTGCCAGTGTATAAGAAAAACACCAAATTTACTTCCATATTCTCGCAGCAAAATGACAATTTTTCACAATGTAGGGGTTGGCCATCTTTCTTTCCTCTGCCGTCCACGCAAAAACAAGATGGCGGCCGGTCGGACTGCACAAACAGACCCGACTTTGTCACTCAAATTTCAACACTCAAATATCATTTCAGATAGATATAATACATTGAATTTGATATGTAGGAACCTAATTAACATTTTTCACAAAAACGTCTTTGCATAAATATGCTTGAATAACTTGTCGACGCTAAATAGCGTGACCCAGGGTGTGTGCACAGGGTGTCAAGTGGTGTCCATATATGGAACTCTTTCCACAGTTTCATATGTTTTATGATTTGTGTGAACTGGGCATAGCTCATCTCAGGTCTTTGGAGTTTTTTTAAATGAGAGATTCACAGCTATCTTGGACCTTTGTGGTTGTTAATTATCTTCATTCTCCCGAATGCATCAGGCTTATCAATACATGTAGGAACAAAGTCTCTTTCAAAGATTCCAGTAGTGGTGGTAAGGTTTAATCGGAAACGCTCTTGTCAGTCGAGCTCAAAGTCACCATGTTCTTCATGTACATGTAGTGATTTAAACTGTATATTATTGTTAATGTACCTGGAGGTGACGTCACGATGCGCCGGCCCAGCGGATCGTTCACAACAAGCATGCAGTGTCTGCACACGCATGCCGATGACTATTTCCTGAGCAGCGCACCGTCCAGTGTGGTCAAATACAAAATGGATGAGGATCTTTCTGAAACAAGAGCATTTTGAAAGGAATAGGGATCAATTAGTGAAAAAAGTTTAAGTCCAAATCGACTACCCTGTTGGTAATTTCGACGTGGCGTGGCTACAGGTTGGAGTGAGAATGTTTATGCAGGACAATCACGTCTGGTATTTTGACCTTGTAGCTGGCTAACGAGGTGGACCATGCGGATGGCAGGGTATTCTGCAATAATGCCGTATTTTTTAGTCCTAGCGCCTACTCCTAATTTCTTGTGACAATTAAAACCCTGCCCACTGGCCCATAACAATTAATGTTAATCTGCCAACTTGTCTTGGTGTTTACACGTTTAGCTTTCATTGTCATATCATTAGGCACATTGTTACAATCAGAGGTGTGAAAATGCAGCTTTTTAGCTGTTTTCGGCTTGTTTTGTTCAGGTGTTAACCCTGAATTTCTGCTTTTTTTGTTCACCCACTGTGTACAAACGTACACGTGTGTACATTTATGGGGACTTCTGACATTTCAGTTTTTTCTAGCTGTTTGTAGCTTTAAATTACAGTGGCCACTCACACCCATGTACAATGTACATACATGTGCGGTACGAACATGTAGGTTACTCCAAAAAGTTAAAATTGGATTTTTGTGGTCATAGTGTGGTCCTGAACTCTACAATCTTTGAATGACCTGTGAGATTAGAACCGTTCTTTTTTTCCTTCTGATACTGCAGGCACCAACATTCAGGGACTTGTCGAGATCACAAACTGCTTCTGTGTTCCTCACAATGAATCTGAAGATGAGGTAGGGTGTCAAGTTACACCATGCTAGTCCTCTCTGTGATGTCCTGAAGCCATGTCAGAGTCAAGTGGCCAGGCAGTTTCATCCGTTGCAGTAACAAACCATCTGGCTTCAATTGATACTTACATGTATTTTATTTCCAGCTGGATCTTCAACAATTAGACACAACTTTTCATTTTTAAGAAGTTCCACACCGCTTTCCTGTTTAAGAGGTCTGGGTTTACACACTACTGTTGTTTTGTTGAACTGGGATAACGTTATTTTTTGCTTGTGTCATTTTTTTCTATTGTTTTTTTTATTAAAGTTGAAGTAGTGAAGCAATTAAGCCATAAAGGCTGCGGTGATCTCTAGCTTCAGTGATCAAGGGCAAGATATCATGGTCTGCCTTAGCCAAGTGAGCCGAGGGTGACCACAGGGCCTGTCTTTAATAGGTCAAAAGTCGTGGTCTATGATGAACTTGGACAGTAGCGTCAAGGAGGTTAAGAAATCTCTCTCTATGATTTGATTTCAGGTTGCTGTGGACATGGAGTTTGCCAAGAATATGTACGACCTACACAAAAAGGTGAATACCAACGAGAGCATCATAGGCTGGTGAGTGGTGGAGATTTATCTGCTTTGCAGCGTGGGCGGTTAACACAGAGAGGCCGTGTTTTGCAGTTCACTCTAGCAACCGGTCAAAAAATTCTATCTGACAACTGTGCGCCAGGAACTTGGTCTCAGTGTTTGTTTGGGTGGACCATTTGAAGTTTCAGTTTTAAACAGTCGAGGTAGTTTTTTTGTATCAAAGGTGGCAGATTTCTGTTCTATTCTTCAAAACTCAAAAATCCTGATACATGTAATAGGGTTTCATCTAGTATAAAATATCTGCCCATCCCCATGTAATTTTAAAAACTACTTGCCAACTCCCAGCAAAATATTTTGAAACCATCGGCCCATGATGCTATCTCAGCCCATATTTTGCACAAGCAAAATCTGCCTGACCTGAATAGGTTTTGCCTGTTGTGAGGATAGATGGACAAGTGGTTAGATGGAGCACTGCTCCTAAGAGTCAGAGTAGAAGCTACTGTTAGGGAAACCAAGCTTTTTAGTTCACCTTTCTGTTGTGTGTGGAGATGTTCGTCCTGAGAGGAACCAGGGAGTAGACAGCGAGTGTTTCAGTCAGTGGGCCTTGCTCTAGAGTAGCTTCAAAGCTCACGGTACATGTTGTCCAGCAAGGACGGTCCGTTGGAGCGCAGCACCTGTTATTCGGGGAGAGTTTTGCAAATGTGATGCCATGTGCAGCCGACCAAGTCTATTGGAATATCTCTGGTCTAGGTGTGGGTGTTGGTGATAGGCAATTAGTTGAAATACGGTACAACCCTGCCAGCCTCTCTCTTGAACATAAAAAGGTGTGATAATCTTCTTCTTTTTTTCCCGGCAAAGGTATGCCACCGGTCCCGACATCACTGACCACTCACTTTTGATCCATGAGTACTACTCGCGGGAATGCAGCAATCCTGTCCACCTGACGATAGACACCACACTGACCGACTTCAAGATGGCCATCAAAGTCTGGATACGGTAAGAGTTTTGTAGTCGAGGCAGGTGCAGCAGTGCAGTTAGATGCTCTGAGACCTGTGGCCTAGCCAAGAGAGGGGCAGAGCTGGTGTACCTCCCCCATAAAAAAACTCGTCAGTCCCACTGGATATTTGACAAGCAAAGAACATGGTAGAATCATCAAGAAAAAGATAAATTTGCCCCTCCCCTGAGATTCAGTCCCCGCCCCCGATGAGACTCCTTGCTGTGCTGCGGTCTTAACACCCAATTCTAAAAGAGCAGACATTCACTTAGTACAACAAACAGTTGCTTAACAAAATTGGTCACAGGCCAAAAGGCTAAACAGTGCTCATGTCTTGAGACTGGTTCTCAGCCAATGTTTGCCCACCACTGAAATTTGCTCAGTAAGATCTTCTGGGGATGTAGACTCTCTCTGTAAATGGTCCAAAATTTAAATAAGGAGGGTTCAAAAAACAGCAATCATCTTTTTTGCTGAATACATTCAGCCCTTTCTTTGGCAAACAGACCTGTAAGCATTTTCATCAGAATCTGCATGAAATCCATCACACAGCAGGTCAGAGTGTAACCGTGGAAAACACTTCAAACCTGGCCTCTGCATTCTTCAATCCTGAAATCTCATCCCGGTGGATTCTGGCGGACGTTGGAGTGGGTTTTGGACGTGCCTAACACTGCATTATCTGTATTCTTGTTACAGGCAGTCGATGGGCGTTCCAGACAAGTCCAAGGGCACCGTCTTCACACCCATCAAGATGGCCCTGGTGTGCCACGAACCTGAGAGAGTTGGCTGTAAGTCGGATGGCAGTAGGCCGATTCGTAGAGGTCCCCATATGCTTTGTTCAGTCACAGTGAAATGCGTAAACCTACAACCTTTGGCTTATATGAAGAGGAGTAGAAAATAAGCTCATTCAGCATTTCAGTTACGCATGCGCCAGCTGGCCTTGGCGACCCTCTTTTTTGGATAAACAAACCATTCCGCTCCATAGCAATGCACGTGTTTGCCCCTAGAAGTTTTCTCGATTTGCTGTTCTGGTTTAGATTTCTTTAAGAGTAAAAAACGTTCTGCGGTGTGCCTGGGCAGTTTTGAGATATGTATGAAAGGTGCACCAGGAATCCCTGAAATATTTCTGGTGAAAAATTCATGTTAACTGCAGAAAGTTGAAAATAAATTAAACCTCACTCATTCGTACGCCAGGTCTATGCTTTACCGTACCTCTGGCTACGCCACGTGGGTTGGTTTATCCAATTTCTATCCCACAATTCCTTGCACGCCCAAAACTCTAAACTGGCTTTTTGTCTCCTTGTCCCTCTTGTTGCTCTTCGTACCCCCCTTTGTTGCTCCTCGTACCCCACATTGTTGCTCTTCGTACCCCACATTGTTGCTCTTCGTACCCCACATTGTTGCTCTTCGTACCCCACATTGTTGCTCTTCGTACCCCACATTGTTGCTCTTCGTACCCCACATTGTTGCTCCTCGTACCCCACATTGTTGCTCTTCGTACCCCACATGGGACCATCAACAAGCATACACCTGCTCACTTCTGTGTGGTTAAGGAAACTTGGGGAAAATGCTCCCCTTTTTCTCCATCTAGAATAACTCCAAGCTGGAGTTTTGATGATAATTTCCTGGACGATTCCTCTTCATTTTGCCACGGACAACCTTGACCCCAAAATGCCTCTGAAACTGTTTTTCAAAGAGGGGAAAACATTGTGTGGACGTGTGTGAGTCCACACAATGCCATCGCACTCTTAAATTATGTGGACTTCTTTTGTGCATAGGTCCACACTATGTATGCCACGCCTGCACAGAACAAAGGAATGTCCGCGCTTTGTGTGTTGGTGTGAACATTCCTTTGTTTTCATGCAGTTGAGAAAACTTGGCAAATATACTCTTTTCTCTTGAACTGTGAACACAAACTGAGCTGCGTTGCTGATGGGGATTTCCTGGACTGTTCCTCTTCATTTTTCAACTAATAACCCTGAGCCCCAAATTGCCTCTTAACAGGTTTTTCGTGAAAGGGGTAACCTTGTGTGGACCCGGTTAAGTCCACACAGCCGGCATTGTGTGGAACTCTTGTTCACTGGTCCACACTAGATACATGTATGTTAGGTTCAATCATACCTGTCTATTATGGGTAATTCCAGAAATTAGGGGTCCAAAAGTGTGGCATTTCACTTCCCTTTTACATCTGACCTTTGTTATTTGACATGGAAATACTACTGGAATCGATTTCAAACTGTTACTTCACGTATTTATATGGCAGGTAATTCATTACTCTTGGAACCTAGAAAACGTGTTCTGAACTTAGAAAATCATAGATCAGATGTGACAGGGATACGACAAAAATGGACACCTAATTTCTGGCATTACCCATATGTAGCATGCCTGACCAGCTGCCGTTGGTATGTACAACCAAGTGGCTTCAGTGTCTGTCTCTCTTGGATATCTCAAGGGAGTGCTAGATCACAGCGGTCATTCACATGTGAGCCTAACAGGCGGTGGATACAGGATGTTCCAATAGATGCATACAAGTCTTGTGTCTGGAGGTAGGTGTTTGTCTTCCCCAGTTGCCAGTGTAGAAATTACACTGACATCAGAAGTCATGGTGACTCAGGCAACCGGTGTTGGAGATGGCCGAGCTCTCTCGGTCCCACTCTGGGTGGATTGTACATAAAGTTAGGCACTCCCATCAGGAATGGCCGTTTTTTTAAACAAAGCGTCAGTTTTGTCACAAACTGACCTATTATGGTGAGTTGATGCACCATGAACTGTTGTATCGTGTGTACAAAGCCTACGGACAGTATGCCACGTTGTGGGGCACCATACATTGTGTCACTTTGTGGTGCAACTGACGAAACGGGGGCCTGTCCCAAGTATGAGACTCTTCCCGACTTTCAAGCACACTCTCCTTTGTTTCTAGTGGATGCGTTAATTCGTGGCCAGGCTTCGGGACGCCGCACCATGGAGTCTGTCAATGACCTCCAACATGTCAGCAAGTCCTCCGTCAAGCTGCAAGAGATGATCGCCATCGTTCTGGACTACGTTGATGATGTGTTGGTAAGAACTCAATCCCGTTAGCAAATGCATCACTTGCACATTATTTTCCAATACAGATCTTTGTCTTGAATTATACTGGTAAAACCAGTCATCATCCATCTGTCGGAAATATTTATCCTTGCACAGCCTCTCAAGCAGTCTTACCGGCAGTCTTCCCACAGCCTCCAAAACAAATGCAGGAAACCAAGGGCACATTCTTGGCTCTTAAAACTCCCAAGGAACATGGAGTACAAGTGGTTTGACTCTACCGTCCTCAATCTTCTAAAAAAAAAACTGGTGGACGTTGAAGAGATTGGGAGGGTTTGAGTTGAAGATTGCTCACTTGCAAGCTTGCTATTTCATTCATTAATGAAGTGGTTGTTAATGTTTTATATTCCAACCTTTCACCCAGTCAAAAACAGTCAAAAATTCTTTCCACTTCTCCAATACAGTACATAGACATATCACACGTCATTCGACTTATTTTGACTGATAGGACAACTGTGTTGAGAATGCATCTTTGCATAAGAGGGCTAAGTAGTTTCCAGCTCTTTTTGGCTTTAATGTTCCCTGTTCTCTTCCCACCTTTTCATTCTGTAATCACACGGTGCATCATCAACAGGTACCAAGGAACAGTCAGTTTACCATTTGCCATACGGAACTCGTACGCACATGTTGGTTGATAGTTTCCAGCTTTTTCCTTGTCTGCCTGGAGACGTATGGCCTCAGTGCACATGCTTCCTTGATTTTCCTAATATTCCTTGAATGTCCTTTCCCTGCAGAATGGGAAGATACCGGCTGACAACCAAGTTGGGCGTTTCCTGATGGATCTGGTTGCCAATGTTCCCAAACTAGATCCAGAAGAATTTGAAAGAATCATTACCAGCAACATGAAGGTATTTGTGGGATTCATAACCATCTGGTACTTCTGTCCTGAACCCATTTGATGAACGATATGCGGCAAAGCTTCCTTTGTGTCGATGGAATCTTTGAAATTCCTTTCAGATTTCCGAGGGCGGGTGCAGTAAGCACAATAGCCTTAGGGTATACAGCTTGTGCTTCACCTTAGGGGGGTCCCCCTTTGCCACATATCGTGTTGGCTATACCTGAACCACATTTATCCTGCAGTCAGTGATTTCTACATAGGGTCCTTCTTTTAAAAGAAAGCGTTTTGTGCAAAATTTCTTGTCCATCATTAGGGGTGTAGGGTTATGTTTATGGGTTGAAAACAGCCTGCTGTAGGATTGCGAAGAACGGAACAGAATTTGATAAACAAAACTTAGCATTGTCGTCGAGTCCATAACAAGTTGTTTCTCGGGTCAAGTCACAAGGTCCTTTCATAAGACTAGTCGTTAGTGACAAGGCAAGCAACGGCAAAGGAATGTTTTTGGTACAGTTCCTTCGAATAGCTCACAACTGGGTAAAGACTAGATGATTTGTGACTGACTTGCAGGGACTTGTGATAGACTGACAACGTATTCTTAATGACTCTCGTTCTTTTAACGATGCTTATGAAGTGACTTGTTTGTAATTGCAGGATCTTCTCATGGTCGTGTACTTGTCCAACCTTGTGGAGACACAACTAAGCCTGAATGAGAAACTCACCCTCATCGCTCAGACTCACCCATGAATGACAGTGGAACCTTCCACCTTCCCAGTCCTTCATAATACAACAAGCCTGTTTATAGAATTTGTGAGATTTACATCTGAAAGATTTCTCTGACTCTAAATTCATTTCGTGTACGGCTCTGGCCCAAGTTCACAGATATTTATGGAACAGTTTCTGACTTTTTTTCGTTATTTCTTTTCTGTTATTGCTGCCTGCTCTTGATGAAAAATTCTATGAACATTTTCCATTACTGAGAAATATTTGGCTCCTAGGATTTTACACATTGGACTAAAAAACCTACAGGTTGAAAAGCTTTTCACTGAGCTCCTATTTTGAGATGCAGTTGGTGCACATGTAGGTAAAACGGAAAAATTGAACAAGGTGTTGAAGTTTTCATTTCACCAACAGGTACCTAACTGCAGAGCGTTTTTCCATACAGTTGGTGGCATTACAGCCTTGCGGTTGTTGCCTGTTCTTTATAATATCTAAGGTGGTTGTGCATTACAGCCAGTCACAACACCCTGTGAACCCCGAGTTGGACCAAGAGAGGGCGCAATTTTCTCAGCAGTGGAGGTGGTCGGGACTGAACTTCACTGATTCATGATTGACTAGGAAATGCTACTAACAACAAAAACACTCTCGATCAGCACGGCTAATTTCAACTGGTTGGGGGTGGTGCTTCTGCTCAAGGTGGATTGGTTAAAGAGGTGTTTCACACGCAATGTCGACCTCAGCATGAGAAATGTAATCCAATTGCTGGGGTGGTATTTCTGCCCTGCAGCTTAGTGTACACGTCATTCACAGCTTCCAGTTTATTAAATTTTCCAAAATTCTACACAAATGCACTTGCACTACGTATGTATTAAAATAATTCCATTATTTTGGAAGATAAGGTAAATGCTACTAGCAGGATGTCAGCTTCCTCTTATGTGTTGGTTTTGGTTGTTGTACAAGTGCTTTTGAAGAATTTTAAACTCGGAGCTGGAGAAAAACGAATTAAGTAGAATAAAATTCCAGTATCTAAACTGCAGTACATTACATTTTGTGTGCTTTGGCTTGTTTTTCTCAGATCATAATTACATTTGATTTTAAAACAGCATTGTTGTTTGGAAATTTCTTCCAAACCGTCTGGGAATAATGCTGTTTACCTTCACATTCTCAATTACAGAACTACAACAAATAGTCTTTTTTTGCCACATGTACATGGATGTACCACCAAACAGTTTTCCTTGAAATGTACAAGCCATTCTGGGTACAGCTACACCGATACTGCACGGAGACGTCCAACGTGCATAATTTTGTAACACAGTGACAATTTAGGCACCAATTGATGCAATATGTCAAGTAACAAAGCTGTCAGCAGAGAAGCTACTAACACAATTGGAAACCTGTGTCAAACAATTTTGTTATGCCGTGGTCATAGTTAGTGGATTTTTATTGGTCGCAAATTGATCACGTGATATGCTACAAGCGCGTATGTATCATTCACATATGCAGCAAGGTATGAGACGGAGAGAACCCCCCCCCCCCCNCATTCACGTATCGAGGGAACTTGCGATGTTCCCGGGCCACAAAAAAATGATGGACAACGTTCTCCGTCACCCGGTATCCGAACAGGGCGCTGAGCAGGGCTGATGACCCTGCACAGAAAGGATTACGTCACAGCTATTAAAAACGACGTGCAAAGCATGAAATTTCTGCCAGGTGCACGAGCTCACTCAATCGTGAAACAAGGGGCGGTTATCAATCCGATATTTTTTTTTCTTTTTCTTCCTCACTGCTGAAAATATTGTCACTACACATTATTCGTTCATCCAAATTTCATCAAGATAACCAAGGATTCGAAATGTATCGCCAAAAGACAGGTGATCAGTTATACTTTAGCTGCAGCCCACACCATAAGTAGAATTTGAGGGGACGCATGATTGTCCCGTTACGTGGACGCCTACGCGTATGCATGAAACGCGCACGAGCGCTTGAGACGTGACGTGCATTTAAATTGATGTGACGAGCAGTCCTTTTACCAATCTTTGCTTTTTACCTCACGCTCGTGCGCATGCGGCTACCACTCTCCCATCTCCAGCCTTTAAAGAGCAGTATTTTGCAGCCAAGGAAACATTTTTTGTCTGGCAGAATTTCGGAGGAAGAAGTGTCTGGATTATCTAGTGAATATTGCCTAAACGTTTTCTGTTACTATAAAAACACAAGTATCCATCTTTACTACGCCTCTGTTGATTACGTGGTAATTTATTTTTCAATAAATATTAAATTTTAGATAAATGAACAATAATGGAGTAACGAGGATGAAAACGAGCTTCTGCTTGACCGGCGCATTGAGCTGGCGTCGTTTCTCATTTACATAAAACCTGCACTAATTGCCTGCTACCGGTTGCTGTGTTGGGAGGACGTCTGTAAGACAAATGAAGACTACGGACGGGACGGAGAACCAGCCTAGGTAGCACTACGCGCTAATTTTGTTGTAGATTGTGGGCAGTGTGGAGGACGCAGAGCCTGGAAGTAAATAGGAACGCAGCAAGCTTCTGGAACCCTCGCGGCCGGTCTTCCTAAGGGGATGTTACATTGGGCCGTCCTATTACATTCGATATTTTTGGGAGAGTAATTCCGAAAAACGAATTTCATTAACGACCTTTCACGTCCTGCGATATCGTACCGAGGACTCCTTGTTCCCGCGCGTTTGTTTTCACTCCCCGTGATTATACGTGATTCGAAACCGAGATTGTAGGCCTACGTTGCAAAGATTTACCTACCTGCAGTCGATGGGTC